GGAAACATTTAAAAAAACAACCCTTACCTCCAAACATATTGGACAGTCCTGCCTGGAGACATTTTCAATGCACTTTGTAAAGAAAGAAAAAAGACAGCTTAACAGGAAAGAAAAATAAATGTAGATTCTTGCATAATAGAAGTACTTGGATCTACATTTCCTTAGAATATATAAAAGTTTCATGAAACCTTTTACTACCCCAAAGATGGGTTCAAATTCCATCAAAGGGGATTCCAGTAAAATCTGTGAAGGCTAAAATTTCCAATTTTAATTTTTTTTTTAATTGTTATGGGACTTCCAAAAAAGAAACAACTAGATGCCACTAGGAAAGTGGCAAATCAAACAGAGAATCTTAAAACATTTCTAGAAGAGTTGATCACAGATACGGGGACCTCCAGATGAACAATGAAATTTCAAAGAGTATATTCCATGGGATTGACATTGCAAGGGAAGCAATACAAAAGTCCAGTGTTGATCAATGTTGCTGTTCAGGACTGCGAGACATTGGTGGAAGGAGGAAAGTATGCACAGCCCTGGTCTGTATTATACATGTCCTAGCTAGGACATAACAGCTCATTTTCATAAACACAGTGCTAGGGGGGAGCTGTGTTCTTTTTAAATGAAACTATAGAGTATTACATTCATACCTTATGTTTTCCTTGAAGACTCAAGGCTAGACATAAGTTACATTTTGAACAATGGAAAAAGTCTTCTTTTGGACCAATCCTAAAGAGACAGGCAGTCAGTTAGGAATAGTTTGCCAATTTCTGTACAATTTACATTTTAATACCTGCAAGAAAAGTTTCACACTTAGAAAAGATTATTTCTCTCCCAGATCAAGAAAATGTTTTATTTTAAAAGGACTGTGACATTTTATGCAGTTAAGAAGTGAAACTGATTACACAAAGAGCTGTCAAAAGCACAATATTTTTAACTGTTTCCTTCGAGCCTTTAAATTAAATATTTGTAAGTGTCACTTTTAACAGTAACCAGGGCAACTTTAAGATAAAGTATATTTTCAAGATGATGGCCTTTGTTTTATGGTAGCCACCAACTTTTCCCCCTCTTTAGCACTTATTAATTTTCACAATGGCAGACATTTACAATAGCTGCAGTGCAAGGAAACTGCTTCAACAGATGCCTGTACTAAAATAATTCCCCACCATTATGTATTCAGTGACATTTTTAAAGATCAAACCTTCATTATTTTTGAGCTACATCAGAAGGAAAAGCTTATCTCCAATATGCAGCCTGCTTCCCTGCATCTCAAAAAATCCACTATTAGTCTCAGATTTGCAGATGCTACCCCTGTTATTTCCTAGTAACAATAGATCTAAGTAACTACAATTAGCACAGGTTAAACAGACACTTGTTTTACACATTTTCTATTACGTAAACACAGTTCAAATCTCTCCAAAAGTCATGCATTTAGGAATCTCTGGAACCCAATCTCTGGAAACAAAGACTCTGAACTATCATGTTAATGTTCTCTCTAAAATGAAGAGAAATTAGCACCAACATGTTTATAACTGTGGAAGTCAAAAATTCTAAGACTGCTTTCCTTAATATTAATCAGTGGTACAGAGGAGTTAGATGAAAATGCATAGCATAGGTCTGCTGCAGAATGCTGCTATAGTTTAAACACAGAACAATATTAACTTAATTCAGCCACCAAGATTTCAAGATGTTTGTGTAGATCTTTTTAAAGGACAATTTTTTTGCAGCAGTGGAAAATTAAGAAGTCTTTCCCCCCTCCTACAACAAACATTACAGATCTTTTACCCAAAGTACAGCGCTCTACTGCATATTCTGTTTTTGGCATTCTATACATGAAATGAGTGCAGAATATGCAACAGAGGATGGGGGGGGAATTTTTCCCTTCCCTGACTGCGTTAAACCTGTGCAACATCACTAGAAGATTTATTTTAGTGAACAAAAGGGAATCATGAAGTTTAAGACCTACAATCAGAATTGTTTTAGGAAAATCCATTTTAATTAGGCATTTAAAAGCAACAGAAAGCTTTTAAACAAGTCATTACTTGACAAAACTGTCCCTTTATTAATGAGAATTCAGTATAAAAGGACACCCCCTAAACTTTCCCATATCTACATTACACACAGAGGCAAAAAACTATATGCAAATAATGGAATGACTTTTTAAAGTGTTCTTTAAGCAAGACCTATTTTTAAACTCATAGCTGCCTTCTAGCATCCTGAATTCTTAAACACAATGCATAATTTCAATTTCAAATACTATATCTTAAAGTTACCAATATTTAAGCCAACCTAAGCAGAATTGCTTTGTAAACTTGGAAACATGAATAATAAACATTGAAGAAAAAATATTAATATTTTTAAATACAGTACCTACAAATGCCACACTTCTCACAGTGATACTGCTTCTTGTCTTTGTCAAACAGGTGGCATATACCGCAGTAATATTCTCCAAACGTACTGCTGCAATCCTCACAACTCTGTTGAGCCTATGAGTACATACACATTACATAAGCAACTACCAACATTTTGCTGGGTGAGAGGGGTTCTTTTAGTTCTTTAAGCTAGCACTTTAATGGGCCGTTGTCACTAGGGTTAAACTTAAGACTTGGTAAGCACAGCCTGTTGTCCCACATGACAAAGCCTATACTTTCAGGATTTTATATAGCTTTGTGCCCCATTCCATCTCCTGCCCACAAAAATGATGCATATATGCAAGTTTAGAGTTTAGAATTGCCGGCCTAAAATGTCTTGTGTCACAGTAAATCCATGTTTGCACCTGCCAATCCTGACAGGATTTTTATAAAGTTTCCTTATTCTTTTAATCAGAAACAGTCTTCACTGGGGACATTTTACACGCTGTCTAAAGAATTAGATTTCAAACTTTGTCTCACAGAATAAGCCCGAGAAATAGGGCTATAGGATTTGCCATACTTGGTCAAGCCACTTAGTTTGGGTGGACACGAGATAGAATCCTATGTTCTCCCCTCCCCCCCTACATTCTTATTACTGTGGCAGTATATTGGAAGGGGGGGGGGGGATCAAATCTAGACACAAATCCTGTACACAGCATTGGTCCAGAAATACCAAAACAGCAGAATGAAACAGATATGGTTGTAAGTTTCATTATCTAGATGAGTTTTCTATAGCACCTATCTCCGCACTTACTAGTGCTGCTGTGGAAGTGCTACCTGCAGGAACACAGGGAACGATCAGAAGCTACAGGAGACACATTAAGGTCCTGTCCACACTACAAATGTAACAAAGCCAAGGGACCTGGTTGTAAGAGTTTCAGTCTATAACCTTAACCATGTTAAGGGGGGAGGGATAGCTCAGTGGTTTGAGCATTGGCCTGCTAAACCTCAGGGTTGTGAATTCAATCCTTGAGGGGGCCATTTAGGGATCTGGGGCAAATTCAGTACTTGGTCCTGCTAGTGAAGGCAGGGGGCTGGACTCGATGACCTTTCAAGGTCCCTTGCAGTTCTAGGAGATGGGATATCTCCATTAATTTATTTATGTTCTGTAGCTAGACTAGAGTGTTTATATTAGTTTTGCTAGGAACTGAAACTGCCTTTCTCCTCCTTTAATGTTAACTGGCTAAGTATGGAAAGAGGATAAATGCAACTTCCCCCTAAAATGTAGAAATTCCCTTTAGTCTTATCTTACCATTTGAAGGAACGGCGAAATCTACCCCCACGCACACAGAGTAAAATTAAGACCCTCTATTAAGCATCTGTGTTTTATAATCCCATTCAGACGATGACAATTACAGTCACAGCATATTGAAAAGATTAAAGTCTACACCATCACCTGCTGGATCCTTCTGCACTTTGCACACTGCACTTGTTTTACTTTAAAACGATCCATCTGATGATCTTCCTTGCTGTCATGACACAGACGGCAAACATAGAACTTACCGCAGCAAGGAGCCTGGAAAAAAACAAAGAAGAGCCAAACTATGAAGAAACCAAAAGTAAGTCACAACTCCCGGGGGCGCCTAGATTTCATTTGCCCTTTTAGTGTTTCAAAGCCCTAGACTAGGTCAGCTCGGTGGAGCTAGTGACAGCACAAGCTTGGTCTCTTCTTTGTAAGGTATCAGAGGTTGGGAATGGCCTGATTTCGGCTCCCCAGAGCAAGGCCTGGATAGGGTTGGGAACAGAGAGGAAGGAAAAGGGCCGGTGACCGAAAATGGAAGCGTACAGGGGAACACGCTTGAAGCCAGGTTAACTCTCCACCAACAAATGCTTCTAGCTCTAAAGGTCCATCTCCCCAGCGCAGCAAACGAAGGACGGGTGTCACGGCCCTGGGCCTCCACAGCCGCTTGGCCCCACCACACACCAGAGGAAGTTAGGATGTGCCCCGAGTTTAGCCCTAGGCGGGCAGGGGACAGCGCTGACCCCCTGCCTGGCTCGGGCGGGGAGACAAGGACACGACAAAGCGCCTGGGGCAGGGGCTGGGGCGGACTCCCCGGGCGGCCGCTCTGAGCTCGGCACTAGGAGCCGCTGGGGCCGGCCCGGGTCGCTCCGCGGGTGATCTAGCGACACGGCCGCGGGAAGCTGGGGGCGGACAGAGCCCGCCCCGCCCGCCCGCCCGCCCCGAGCCCGGACACCCGCTCCCCGCGCCGCTGGGCTCGGCCCCGCTCGAAGCCCGGGGGAGGAGCCACACGAGCTGCCGGCGCCCGGGATGGGCCGGGGTCCCCCCCGCGAAACCGGCCTGCGCCGGCCCACCTGGAGCAGGCAGCTGCGGCGATAGTGCTCACAGCCCGCCCCGCCGGCCTCCGCCGCCGCCATCGCTGCGGACAGCCCCCTGCCCGCCGCCGGAACCGCTCTGTCCGCCCGCCCGCTTCTCTATGGTGACGCGCCGCCGCCGGAACCGCTCTGTCCGCCCGCCCGCTTCTCTATGGTGAAGCGCCGCCGCCGGAACCGCTCTGTCCGCCCGCCCGCCCGCTTCTCTATGGTGACGCGCCGCCGCCGACGACGACGACTCGAACTACTTCCGCCCCTGACTTCCGGCCTCCGTCGTGAGCGGGACTTCCGGCGGAGGAAGCGGGGCGGAAGCGAAGAGCCCGGAGGAGGAAGCGCCGCTGCCCCCAGGTACCCGGAACCTCCCCCATCCCCCGCCCGGGTTCTGCCGCGCGCGGCCCGGCCCGGCCCCCGGGGACACGCTGGGCTGGCGGCGGTTCGAAGCCAGGCCCGGCCGGGCTGTGCCGGTTCCCTGCCCCCCCCCCGGCCCGGGGCAGCTCTGGTTAGCTCAGTGCCCCCCCTCCCCCCGGGGAAAGTCTCCCGCAGCGCGGGAGTTACGTCATTCTAGTCACCGAGGTGGCGCCCAGCTGATTTGCATCCTGTTCATTAGCACGTGACTAACGCCGCCCCCCCCCCCTTAAAAGCACATGGAACCCGAACACGTTGGGCTGCGTTAGTTTGTCTCGGACCGGTCCGTACAGGGTCCCGGTGCTGGACGGGGCCGTGCGGGTGTCATGCCCCAGCGCGACCAGATGTCCCGATTTTGGGGCTTTTCTTATAGAGGCTCCAATTACCCCCCCAGCCCCTGTCCCGATTTTTCATACTTGGGCTCTGGTCACCCTACGTGCCCCCATGCACGCGCTGGAGTCAACGCGCCAGGCTAAATGGGGCCGTCACTTACTTACCTCATTTCCTTCCCAGCTCAGCCTCAGTTTCCCCCCCAGTTCTGTGATGAGCCACCAGTGCCATGGTGAAGAGCTGCTCGGCGATTGGATGTGCATCGAGATGTTTGCCGAATTCCAAGTTACGAGGACTAACGTTTCACGTGTAAGGTTCAGACTTTTATTCATAGATTCTAGGACTGGAAGGGACCTCGAGAGGTCATCGAGTCCAGTCCCCTGCCCGCATGGCAGGACCAAATACTGTCTAGACCATCTCTGATAGACATTTATCTAACTTGTGTAACTTGATAGACTTGTGTAACTTCTCCGCATATTTTTTTAAAGTAGGATTCCTGTCTACATTTGAACCTGGGGCAGATGTGAGCCAGTTCCATGCTCCCAGAGCTAGAGTTACAAAATCCAGGTTCTAATCCCAGTGCTGCTACTGAGTTGGACGCTGCTCATTGGAACTGGTCCGTGGTGGGATAGGACCTCCCATTGCAGGGAGATGCTTGCAGGAGCAGGACCTTGCTTTGTAGCTTTGGTCTCTTACCGTCTCTCTGCCCATTCATTACCTCATCTGGAAAACAATAAAACTTTTTGTAAATATCTTTGAAGATAGAAATTAAGTAATTAGCACACAGAAAGTATCATCATTCCACTGTTTTTGTTCCTTGGCATAGTTTAATCTTGTACATTTCAAGATTTTTCTGTGCTCAAGCTGCTTGCCTTCACCTGTGGTTCAAAGAGGGTGAAATGTTTACATTGCATAGTACAGTCATTTGAAAATATTTGGCTTCTAGAGTGTTAAAGTAACACAACCTTCATAAGGGGGAAGCTACTGGCAATACAGAGCACACTCCAAAAAGAGAGAACTTGGTCCAATTCAGCAACAGATACTTTATTAGCCATTAAAAGAGCTCATGCCCAGACCTCTGATACTTTGACTTTCACCATGTCTTGTTTATGGAGTCAGTTATAAAGTCAAGATATTTATAATCAAATTGATTAAAAGTGAACAAAGAAGGTTATTTTCTCTCTCCTGGTTATCTAACATAGAAGATTGGGGTTAAGGTGGGCATGGATAAACTGGGCATTTAGGTGGAAACCCAAAGGCAGAGAAAGTGTTAATAACAAAAGATAGTTCCATAGGATCCAAAAAACTATATAAACTGCCTTCATCACTAAACATGGCCCTTTACCCCATCTGAGCTCTTTTATTAAGGAACTTATAGAAAGTACCTTCTGTTCCGAGTGGGCAGTGTGAATAACTCCCCTCCATTCTGGACAGTAGTCAGAGATTGCAGAACACCTGATAGGGTTGTCTCCATTTGCTAGTGGAGCGTATGGGGAATGATCTCTCTCTTTCTCTCTCTGGTCTGCTATTCCACCAGTGTGATGGTCTCAGACAAAGTGAGGTGAGCAGGCTGGAGAAATCCTCTGATATTAAAGCTTCTAACTAATTCCTGCCCTACACTTGGGGAACCTGAAAGAGGAATCAGCCAAAGAATCTCTAGTTATTGCTTTACGTTCTGCCAACCTTAACACAACCACTAGAATACAATTATCTTAAATTTTGTCCAAATGTGGATTAAAATAGACCCTAGAGCAGGGGTGGCCAACCTGAGCCTGAGAAGGAGCCAGAATTTACCAATGTACACTGCCAAAGAACCACAGTAATACGTCAGCAGCTCCCGCCACCCACACGCAGCGTCTCCCACCCACCAGCAGCCCAGCCAATCAGTGCCTCCCCCTCCCTTCCAATCAGCTGCTTGATAGTGTGCAGGAGGCTCTGGGGGAGAGGAGCGAGGGCACAGCAGGCTGGGGTGGGGGGGGGGGGAAGGGGGCAGGGCCTGTGGCAGAGCAGTGAGCACCCCCCAGCACATTGGAAAGATGGCGCCTGTAGCTCCAGCCCCAGAGTCGGTGTCTATACAGGAGCTGCATGTGGCTCCGGAGCCACAGGTTGGCCACCCCTGCCCTAGAGGGTCTATTTCTGCCCATGCTATTCGCCGTCTCTGCCAATAGCCACAGTAGTCTATATTTGTTCCATTAAAGATAATCTCTCAGCCAAAACAAAAAAGTGAAGAGAATGTTGGGAATCATTAGGAAAGGGATAGATAATCAGACAAAATATCATATTGCCTCTATATAAATCTTTGGTACACCCATATCTTGAATACTGCATGCAGATGTGGTCACCCCATCTCAAAAAAGATATATTGGACTTGGAAAAGGTTCAGAAAAGGGCAACAGAAATGATATGGGGTATGGAACAGCTTCTGTATGAGGAGAGATTAATAAGAGTGGGACTGTTCAGCTTGGAAAAGAAATGACTAAGGGGTGATATGAGAGAGGTCTATAAAATCATGACTGGTGTGGAGAAAGTAAATAAGGAAGTGTATTTAGTTCTCCTCCTAACACAAGAACTAGAGGTCACCAAATAAAATTAACAGGCAGCTGGTTTAAAACAAAAGGAAGTATTTCTTCACACAATGCACAGTCAACTTGTGGAATTCTTTGCCAGAGGGTGTTGTGAAGGCCAATACCATAACAGGGTTCAAAAAAGTATATACTCATCCATAAGCCAAATATTTTTGGTAAAAAAGTGATGCATCAAAGAGCGGGGGTCGGCTTATAAACGGGTCTACACCAAAATTTGACGATTTTAAACTCTATGGAATCATTGAATTGAATATCTAATACATTGTCGTTTTGTTTACCTGGAGTGTCTGCAGGCATGGAGCCTCTCACCTTCCTGTGGTTGCAGTTCACCATTCCCAGCCAATGGGAGCTGTGGGGCTCCATGCCTGCAGACGCTCCAAGTAAACAAAACGTCCCAACGCGCCAGCAGCTTACCCTGATGGCCGGGAGCCAAAGTTTTCCAACCCCTGAAATATAGGGTCGGCTTATGAAAGGGTCATACAGTTTTTGCTATTTTTACCTATCCATTTTGGGGGGTCGACTTATTAACGAATGGGCTAATGAATGAGTATATACGGTAGGTAAATTCATGGAGGATAGGTCCATCAATGGCTATTAGCCATGATGGGCCGGGATGGTGTCCCTAGCCTCTGTTTGCCAGAAGCTGGGAATGGGCGACGGGATGGATCACTTGATGATTACCTGTTCTGTTCATTCCCTCTGAAGCGTCTGGCATTGGCCACTGTCAGAAGACAGGATACGGAGCTAGATGGACCTTTGGTCTGACCTAGTATGGCCGTTCTTATGTAACTCATTCACTTGGCATTTCTTCTCCTTACTCGTACATGCAGCCTTGTTTGTAAACCCAGTCATTTAGAGTGGCTGCTTCTTGCCATCAAAATAGTATTTTGTATTTTTCTTTCCAAAATACACATGAACTCAAATGCCTGTCCCCTTGAGTAATAATAATATCTTAGAAATAAAGTTTAGCACAATGAAAGGGTGCAGAAAACGTAGTCATATCACAGGATGTGTATCCCATGATTATCCAAAGGAACATTTTAAGGCTTTCCTCTGTCTCATCCCAGACTCAACCAAAAGAAATCATCTTCTAAACATTGTAGCCACAAAGTAACATAATTCTCGTAATGCTGGTTATAAAAGTCAAAATAATCCAGACTCAGGTGTGGGTCTGTGGCTGTGGAAATTTTTAAAACTCCATTTAATGTGTTTTTTTTCCCACTCACAGAACTAGATACCTCAAAAGATTCACTACGTATGTGTCATCCTTTAAAATAGAGCAGTCATTTTCATATCATCTGAGTGAGGAATATTTATGTCTAAACTAATCACTTCTACCCTACCCAAAATTGATGTTGGGGAAATCAGTTCATAGTCTTATGAAATGTGAAGTGTCTGGAATCTCTGAAATGAAAGGCCATACAGAAATAGTCAGTGGAAACAGTCACGACGTTGGCTGCAGAACTGAACCCACCTCTGTCAGTTTGTATTTACCAGGTCAGTTCCTTGAGGATTTATGAATTATTACTGTAAACAGGATACAAGTGAATTAATTTGACTCAAAAGCTTGTGGGGGAGGACACAGCCCCTTTCTTCCTGCACAGAAGGTCATAACATGGTTGGCTCTGTAACCAGAGCACAAGGAGGGGTCTGCTAGGCGGTGCTGGGAGTGCTCTATACCTCAGCGGGGCATGGCTGGTTAGAGTAGGGTGTGGGTGTCAACCTGCATACAATCACACACAGGCTATACACTGCCTGAAGGAGTGATCACAAAGCTACCTGTAAGTTTGCCCTTTTACAATCACGAGTTACAGATACTTATGTAAAGCTAGAGACTCTATAGCTATCTATTCAACTTGCTTTCCTGTCTGCACACTTGTCCTAGATTCCCCACCGATGAGGAGGCCAAAAGAAGGTGGGTGTTGGCCACGAAAAGGCTCGATGTGAACTCTGCAGGTATGTGGGAGCCTAAGAAAGCAGATGTGTTATGTTCGCGCCACTTTAAGAAGTCAGACTTCGACACAAGAGGTCCCAACATCAGGCTCAAACCTGGAGTCATCCCTTCCATTTTTGAATTTCCTTCTCACTTCCAGGTTGGTCTTTATAATCTGCAGGTGATTGTTCCTATATTTAACTGTATTGGCAAACACGGGCAGGCTTTTCCCTGCACTTTACATAGAATGCAGAAGATGTTTTCTTCTTTTGGATTATCACTAGGTAACAGGAGAAGAGGTGGAAAAATATTGTGCCCAAAGATTAGCATTTTTCTGGGCCTGTTCGGTCTCTCAGTACTCAGGCAGAATTGCCTGAGTAAACAGTGGAGGATCAGGCCCTTGAAGGCTTTTTTTTAAAATAACCATTGTGAGTCTGAACAAGAAATGGTCAAGTACATAAAATGAGAAGTGAAACTGATTACCTCAAGCCTAGCCAAATGCTTATTCTGTGAGCTCTTCAGGGCAGGGATTTGCTTTAGACCTGGCATAATAAGGTCCTGATCCTTTACTGGGCTTCCTAATACAAATCAATAATATCATTAAATAAATTCCCAACATACCAAAAAGACTGGGCTGGAAAGCGCCTATTAGATGGGACCCAGGAGAGCTCCTCACCTTAGTTCTTGCAATGACAGATCTCTATTTAACGAATAGCTTTTAGCATCCCAATTCACCGTGGGACTCATTCCTCACTTCACCTTTCCCCCTGCTTCCAGCACACTGCAGCCACACATTAGCCTGCACAATCCCATCTTTCTGCTGTCTCTAACTCAATAACTGAAGTGTGAAACATGTATTTATAACAGCAGAGACGAGGAAAAGTTCATGGCAGACGAAACACTCCGCTGAAAACACTGCCAGTAACAGTTCATAACCACCAGCTTGTGGATTCGCCTTTCAGTACAGGAGAATTTCATTCCCAATTCATCTTGGTAAGTAAAGTGACTTGTTTGAACCCACCTAAATAAAGCAGACTTTCAAAACAGTGGGGCATGCTCACTGCCAGTGTAACCGCAGGGAACGGCGTCCTCTTAGGTCACCAGTGCATTTGGCTCAGTGTCCGTTTTCATTTGTGTTAGAGCATCAGTTCAAGCATCTCCCTCAAATTTATTGTTCACCAGAGAGCAGTAAGGGCAGCTCCATTTCTTATACATTGTTCCACCATTAAGCCATAGTGGATTAACTAGCTAGGAGGATTGGTTTTGCACACTCCACATGGTTTTGCAAAAAGTGATTGCTAATGGGAGTTGGGATTGGCTTTTTAAACAGTCTCTTAACCCCTTCTTGGTGAATGGGGAGAACATGTGGAAGTCTGAGATTTTTGGGAAAGTTGAGAATGTCTAATGTATTGAATTTTGTTTCCAGGAGCACAGTTACAGCATAATGGACAGTCCAAAGAAATTGAAGTGTAAATTAGATCAGGTAATCAGTGAGCTCGAAGAGGCCAAGGAACATCTGAGGAAGACTTTAGACAGAGAACGACAACGCAGAGAATCACTGAGGACGGTGATCCAGGAGCTGGAGAACAAATGTCTAATCAGCCCCGAAACGGCTTGTAAACTGGATGTTTATTGCTGGGAGTGGTGTGAGGCGGGCACACAGGAGAAGACTATCAACTGAAGTAACTGCAGCAGGAATAGCTGCAAAGTCTCCCTAAACTCAACATTCAGAAGTGGGATGTTTTAAGCTGGTCATCAGCACTCAGTGAACAGGACCAACCAGATCTTTGGAGAAGCTGTTTTCTCTAAAGATACCATCTGGGCAAGATCCTTGCTCCTGAGACACAACTCCCTCATGTAACAGGGTGTCTTGGTCTCTGAGGGCTGTGGTAGTGGTCAGGAGTGTGAGCTACAAAAGACAAAATATAAATGTAAACAATTGTCAGATTAGCAGGGTGAGGCACCTCTATCTTAGATTTCATAATGCAGAACCTTAGTGAGGCCCTAAGAGTACAAATCAGGACTAAAGCAGTGCACAGGAGACTTGGAGAGAGTGGGGGAGTCTCATGAGCAGGCTCTGGAGATAAGTTCAACATCCCCTATTTGTATAGATAGGAGAAAGTGCTGGAAGATGACAAGTGATTGTGGCAGTAGCGATGAGTTGAGCTGTTCACCAGGAGAAGGCAAAGGAGCTTCTCCGGAATAATGACCCATCGTGGACTGGATTTAAATGAAATTTTCTAATATCTGGACTAGGGCAGTCAAGCAGTTACAAAAATTAGTCGCATGACTAATCGCGCCGTTAATAATAGAGTACCATTTATTTAAATATTTTGGATGTTTTCTACATTTTCAAATATACTGATTTTAATTACAACACAGAATACAAAGTGCACAGTGCTTACTTTATATGTATTTTGGATTACAAATATTTGCCCTGTAAAAAAACAAAAGAAACAGTATTTTTCACTTCATCCAATACGCGTACTGTAGTGCAATCTCTTTATCATGAAAGTTGAACTGATAAATGTAGAATTATGTAAAAAAAACAAACCCAAACCCTGCATTCAAAAATAAGAATGTAAAATTTTAGAGCCTACAAGTCCACTCAGTCCTACTTACAAATTTATTAGAGCATAAGCTTTCGTGGGCCACAACGGGTTGTAGCCCACGAAAGCTTATGCTCTAATAAATTTGTTAGTCTCTAAGGTGTCACAAGTACTCCTGTTCTTTTTGCGGATACAGACTAACACGGCTGCTACTCTGAAACCTGTCAGTCCTACTTCTTGTTCAGCCAATCGCTCAGACAAACACGCTTGTTTACATTTGCAGGAGATAATGCTGCCCGCTTCATGCGCTAAAGATTCATATGTCCCTTCATGCTTCAACCACCATTCCAGGGGACATGCGTCCATGCTGATGACGGGTTCTGCTCAATAACAATCTAAAGCAGAGTGGACCTACGCATGTTCTTTTCATCATCCGAGTCATGCCACCAGCTTTTTTGCTGGTTTGGGCTCTGTAGTTTCTGCATTGGAGCGTTGCTCTTTTAAGACTTCTGAAAGTCTTAAAAGGCAGGGGACTGGACTCGATGACCTCTCGAGGTCCCTTCCAGTCCTAGAATCTATGAAAGCAAGTGCCACACCTCATCCCACACCAGATTTTGGAAGGTACTTCAGATTCTTAAACCTTGGGTCGAGTGCTGTAACTATATTTAGACATCTCACGTCTCTGCATTGTGTCAAATGTGGAGCGAAAGTGTTCTTAAAATGAACATGTGTTGAGTCATCATCCGAGACTGCTATAACATGGCAGAATTCGGGTAAAATAAAGCCAGAGACATACAATTCTCCCCCAAGGAGTTCAATCGCAAATTTAATTAACCATATTATTTTAACGAGCATCATTAGCATGGAAGCATGTCCTCTAGAATGGTGGCCGAAGCATGAAGGGGCATACGAATGTTTAGCATATCTGGCATGTAAATACCTTGCAATGCTGACTACAAAAGTCCCATGAGAACCCCTGTTCTCACTTTCTGGTGACACTATAAATAAGAAAAGGGCAGCATTATCTCCCATAAATGTAAACAAACATGTTTGTCTTAGCACTTGGCTGAACAAGAAGTAGGATTGAGTGGACTTGTAGGCGCTAAAGTTTTGCATTGTTTTGTTTTTGAGTGTAGTTATGTACCAAAGAAAATCTACATTTGTAAATTGCACTTTCACGATTAAAGAGATTGCACTACAGTACTTGTATGAGGTGAACTGAAATATACTATTTCTTTTATCATTTTTGCAGTGCAAATATTTGTAATCTTATTCTGTGTTGTAACTGAAATTAATATATCTGAAAATGTAGAAAAACGTCCAAAAATGTTTAATAAATTTCAATTGGTATTCTATTGTTTAACAATGTGATTAAAACTGCAACTAATCGCAATTAATTTTTTTTAAATCACAATTTTTTTTTTGAGTTAATCGTGTGAGTTAATTGCGATTAATCGACAGCCCTAATCTAGATCTTTACTACCCTGGAGTGCATGTGCAGAGCTCCCAAAATGGAGCTTGATAAATTTATGAATGGAATTATACGAGGTGGTTGCCTGCAATAGCAGGGCACTGGACTCTATGACCTCCATCCCACTCCTATGATTTCACATTCAGCTGTTCTCTCGAGGGTCCAGGTGAAGTTTGCCCCAGGATGTTTTAAGATCATGGATTGATCATTTGTTCTTCTCTGTATCGTGAGTGTATTAGATGTAAGGCATCAGTCACTAATTCTGCAGTCAGCACGTGGCATTTTCCTGGTCTAAGATTTGCATCAATTTGGAATGAGTTCAGGTGCATTATAAACAGGAAACGTACGCCCTTTGCAAAGAGTGTTGGTGGGAAAGAGGTAGCTATTCTGGGCACTGTTTTCTTAGCGAGGGAGACTGAAGTACAGCATTTGCTAAACAACAACGTATGAACTCAGTGCTCAAGGGCTGGGTGTAGTGTGCTCAACGGGGAAGTTGCTAACAACACTTTCAGTTCAGCATCCATAGTTCTTATAAAACCAGTGTAAATTTATTTACAGGAGCCCACAGTGTTCTGCAGAGTAAGAATGCACCTAAGGCAGCTTTTATTGCTGTATATAGTTTCTGAACTATGCAGTAGCATTGATAATTCACACACACAGCATCCACATTTGCTTGATGGCTTCTAGGTTCAGGATCTAGGCTGTTAAGAATCCTTTGCTCTTAGGGGAAGAGACACAAAAAACGCCCTTATGCGGATAGCAGGAAGGGGGGCAAAGATGCATTGTGGCTTTCCCCAAATATTTTCAAACAGGTATTTTATTCAATCCAGAAGATACTTTCTATGTTTTTAATACAATGATCTATTTATGATGATAAGGGACAGTAAAAAATGGAAAGACATTACATGGGGTTATTTGGACTTTTTTCTTATTGCCTCCATAACATGCCCTAGAGTATTATAACTATCCCCCAGGCACAGGCAGCTGGAGATGGCTCCTTCACACAACTAAAAAGCTGCATTAGTCTAAGCTTCCGCCCCAGGTATGGCTGGGAGACCACCCACGCCGGGTAGAACATTCAGGGCATCAGGCAGATATCCCTCCCCCAGAATGCCTTGACGTGGGAGGCTGCGCCGTCTGGGCAGGTCAGGGATGCTTGTCAGCACTGATGAGTTCAGAGGGTTATTAACCCAAGCTGAAGGGACAGGGATGAGGGGAGTTAAAATACAGCTGGAGTATTGCAACTGACCCATGTCTGCATTGTGCCTGGGAGAGGTGACACTCACACAGTGGGGACTGCCAGTCTCTTGGGAAGCTTTCTATCAGCCTGTGCTGAATCTGCTCCCGCGGCTCCATGCGAAGCCGCGTTTCCCTACACCGTCAGCTCAGTTTGCTCCCACACACTGGCACTACCGGCACTCCTTCCTGAGCACTGCCAAGGCACAAGCCGGGTGAGCAGCACGACTCCAGCCCCTAGCAATGCTAAAGAGCGGCTTTCAGCACCTCTCCACATTGACGCTAATCAGAGCGGCTGTTAAAGGCCTGAGATCGCAACATCTCAGCAACGCTCTCCCAGGCTGTGCCAATTTCAAGCATGTCTCCCTGGGTACTTAGATATTCCCTATCAGCATAGTATCTGAGACCCAGATACTGAAAATATTTAAGCACCTACCTCCCACTGAGCAACAACAGCTGATCTAGCACTCTGGTCCCTGCAGCTCCAATTAGCTGCACTAGAGGAGACCCAATTAAGAAGAGCTGTGCCTAATCGATGGCTTGGGATGGGCTGAGGAGAGCTAAGAGACTCATTAGGCAGAAGGTAGAATAGGTACAGGAAGGAAGAGCCGGAGACAGAATGAGACTTTCAGAGTCAGAGCCTAGAGGAATCTGCCAGGGGAAGATCCCTTCCATCTTCCCTCCTCCTTGGCCAAGCTAGCTGAGGATCGTGGCTTCCTGTAAATACGGGCCTGCACAAGCCTGTAAAGGGTGTGGGGAGGACACTGTGAAAAAAACCACACAACGTGCTTAGCAGAAGGAGATCTCCAAGCTGTTTGTAACCGGGAAAGAGACAGGAGTGAGATCCTGCCCTGTCACAATCAGACAGACTGGCCACTTTTCTTCAACACTGATGTCCACACTCTGCCCCTGCTGCACACAAACAGCGGTCAGGATTTGGCCCTGGGGCAGGAAGGCGCTAGTTTATGGCTGCGATTGATGCAATAATCCCACCGACTGACTGCGGTAGCAGCTCTGTATGTAGGATGGCTACAGAACTGGATCTTGACTGGATACCCAGAGACTTGCAGCCTGCTGCATTATCCACAGAGCGAGCAGGAGGGGAATCTACCTCACTTCTGCAAAGGCTCTGCACATCACAAGTACCCTGAGACTTTCACGGATCATTCCCCCCAATTCGCTCACATGTGTAAATTCCCTCCCTGTGGAGGAATAGAAGAGAGGACTCCATTATGGATAGACAAAATAAATCAATGCAGTGGCCTTGCCCTAGAAATATGCTCTCTTGTTTTTACTTATCACACACACTTATCAATACCAAACTATGCACAGGAAACTAACCACTCCATAGATAAGCGAACACATAGGGGAACACTCTTATTTTTGTTCTTTATACCATTCAAACCCTATCATTTTATTATTCTCTTTTCCAACGAATCATAAGTTGCGGCTGATCATATGAAGGTATCTACAAGCACATTCGCATTAGACATACATCGGGAGCAGCGTTAAAACAAACCACCTTTGATCTTAAGATCAAGAAACGTTTTTCAGCAAGGAGTTGTCCAAGTCAGCGCTGAGGCACAAAGCTAAGAGCACACCATAAAGACAGTGACTATTCCACCTCCTCAAAAAGGAAAAGTGATATCAGAGTCCAAGAATTATGACCAAAAACAAGGAAGTGAACTATAAGGTGCACAATACAAAACTGGTAACATTGCATTAAAGCAACAGAATCTCTCTAAAACATACTGATAAATATTTGCATTAAAGTATTGATAATGAAATACACAGCACATTTTTATATACACTGGGGGAGTTATTTTCCATCGCTTCACTCTCAGGCTCTTGGGTCAGAGATCTCATTCTCAGGTACAGGAAGAATGAACAAAAGCAAAATGTAAAAGACAAACCAACCTGATGTATGTGATGTAGCAGTAAGGGCAGCAGCCCAGACCACTGGGGCATGGGAGTAGGAGCAGAGAACCTGGGTTCTGTTCCCAGCTCAGCCACTGAACTGGCTGTGTCACCTCGCACATGTCATTTACTCAATACATAGCCACCTTTGGACAGCGTTTTGAGACCTACAGACAGAAAGGGCTCAATGTTCTTATTGTAAACGTAGTGTACACTGGTACCCACACCCTGTGTGTCTGCCTGAAGATCTCCGGTACCAAACACCAGCTATCAAAAGCCCCAGGGCTGTTTGTAAGAGCAGCAGCTAATATGCAAGAAATGTCAGTTCCATGATTACCTGCGTCATAGCCCAAACCAACTCCCAGTGATAAATGAGCCACCGAAAGATCTCTAGGACCGCTCTGGAAAATGAGCTGCCACATCTGAAGGGGGGGTGTCCTCATACATTTACTAATGCAGTTCCCAATCCTGCATCGCAGTCTGCTAATGCAGAGCCCTCTGTCCTTGGGCAGGGCTGGGTGCTAGAAGAGCCCGATGGTAGATCGAGGCCAATCACAACGCCTGCTTCCTTTATCGTAAACGTTATCCACGTCCCACTAGAGAACTGCTAGTCTCGGTTGTGTACTGTTGTGCCAAGACCAAATGCCATCCTCCAAATATGAATAAACCTCATCCACTCTGGGTTGAGAACACATACTGCATTTAAAGCACTAATACTGGCACAAGCTCTACCTGTCTTTCACCACATCTGACCACCCCCACTACCTCCAAGATGGCCCAGTGCCTGGAGACGATCAGCTCCCGGATGAAGGACAGCTGGTTGAAGCTGAACCCTGGCAAGAAGGAGGTGATGCTGGTGGGCAGAAGGAAGTACTTTGAAGAGTTTGTAGCCGTGGTGCGGTCTCCTTGGGTTGAAGGCACACACCCACAACTGGTCAATGCAGTCTAGTTTCGGAGGGTCCTGGATTTCTCGCTAACGCAAAGTTCTCATATAGCAGCAACTGTGATTAACACTTACCACCACCTCCAATTGGCTAGGAGACGGCATCCCATCTCAGAGAACGATGATCGGGCTTCAGTTATTCACGCCTTTGTCACCTCCCATCTGGACTACAGCAATGCCATATACCTGGGCATGACGCCTTCAGCATTTAGGAAACTCCAACTAGTACAAAAAGCTGCAGCGCATCTCCTCAGCAACACGGGCCACCACAAACCCCTCAGACCCGGCCTCCACGCCCTACACTGGCTTCCCAGAGAATATCCAATCAAGTTCAAGGTCTCAGTCCCCATCTTCAAGGCACTCCATGGCCTGGGCCCAGGACATGGGAAGATCACCTAAAGCCGTGGGAGGCTGATAACTCCGCTCCTTTGGCACAACGGAACTTTCTACCGTAAGAATAAAGCTTGTTTGCACAGGAGACAGAGTTTTGCCTGAAGAAGCTGGTCTGAGACGGAGGAACAAACTCCGCCCAGGAACTAAGGGACCTTCCCAAACCTCACTACCTTCTGCTCCAAGTACAAGGCACACTGCTGTGACTTGCCCGCTCTGACACAAATACAGAAAAGTGTGCACCTAAGGAAAACACCCTACCAAAATGAACCAGTACACCGTGCACACAATTCTCCACCTGGTTAGAGGCTGAAAGAGAACAAACCACACATGACAGATGTAAGTCACATACTTCAGTGCACGATCAGAAGGTGCTCAGAACTATGGTGACAAGTACGGTATAATAATCTGTATAGACGAGAACCATCTTTCTTTTTCTCAAAATAGGAAATACATTTTCCTTTTGGACAGAAACCTGCACACATCCTTTACATTGAGAGAGTATTTCAAAAATGCACCTAGGACTTCAGAGTTTAAAACAAACAAACCAAGAATGGCAGGAAATTGTGTCATAATGCAAAGTAAAAAAACAAGCCCCGCCCCGGAAAAAAAGATAGACACCTATTTAAAAGTCATGCTTCTGTCTTAATAGTTTGTATCCATGACTATGGGGAGGACTTTATAAAGACACCAACTTAAGAAAATAGGCTAATTCCTTACTTAGGCTCCTAAACAAGTAACAGGCTTTTCAAGAGTGCCAAGCCCCCAGCAGTTCCCACTGTAGCCCAGTTAGAAAAGTAACCTATAAAAAAGTTGTTATAACTGAAAGAAGTCAGCAAACACGATTTCTTCCTTTTTGCAGTTTATTTACTTTGTGCATTTGATAGCACTGTGTGTATATAATCAGTGTTACCATTCGCTCTGCAAAGTCAGTCAGTTCCCCCTGTTTGTGTAAGTCTTTTCTTTGGCAAGAGGGAAGTTATGGAAAAAAAAAAAACACCCCACAAAAATAACCTACACACACAACCCACAAACAGGAAAATGTGACTGTAAAACAACAACTGGTAGAGTTGAAACACCAGAAACCAGTTTTAATGCACTTCCTTTAACTGACGAGATTTCAACTTGACGGTGTTTCTTTAAGCAGCTATCAGATCCATTTCAACAATTGATAGTCACTAATGCTACAGAATCCTAGACCATTCAAAAATTCTCAATATAAATGCTGGAGACATCTCTTGATTTAATTGATTTCGGATGGTAACAATCCCTGAAGTGGATTTTATATACAGTAATCCCTTAGCCCTTCCCAACAACTGAATCCGGTTCAGGAGCAGGGTCAGTATTTGCAGGAGGATGCTGCCAGGGGTGAGGTACACAGATGAGGATATGCAGGCAATGCACAAATATTTATCTTCAAACGGTTCTGATATTTTAGTGATGTTGTCTGTAGTTTAGGACCAAAATTAGTATTTCATATTAAACAGGGTGTCACAAAAAACCACAACACGAGTACGTCTGTACTGATGATTTGTAAAGATTTCACAAAAACATGATTTATTAAAATTTAAACAGTCCCCTGTAGTGTTGGAAATCCAAATACATCAGCTCTATGCCAGAGCCTGGGAACCAGTCACGGAAAGTGAGCAGTTTAAGTTTCACTACCCAAAATTAGTGAAATGACAATAGTAAACACATGGCAAAAAGTATATTAGATTTTTAAAATTCATTCAGTTTTAACTTTTAAATGTAAGCGTTATTGATAGCATATTGATACATTTTCCATTGACAATTTTTATGGTGACAGTGTGTCTTTAACGTGTAGTCTCAGTGAATTTTTTCTTCCGTTATCTAAGTTTCCCATACGTCACTCTCTTTTGGGTCTGTTAAATTTGCCAGCTCTCTTTTTTCTTTAAAAAGGTTAAAGGGTAGGAGTTACCATCTTTTCTTGGCTCATAAATCTTGGTAACCCTGCGCTCTCTCACTGAGACCTGGGGCTCTCAACTGACCATAAAGATGTTTTTTGTTGTTGTTTTTTTAAAGAAAAATAGTTTACTACAAGATAACTGTATTGGATGACCTTGGTACCACCAGTGGTGGATTAGCCACTGGGCCAACAGGGCCCATGCCCAGGGGCCCCCGGAAAAATGGGCATGCACCCTGATCACGCTCTGCCTGCCAGGTGCTCCCGCCAGGGAGCGGGGGAGGCCCCACGCCCCGACCCCACCCCCAGCAGGAGCCCCACTCGCTCTAACCCCATTTCCCTGGCAGGCGTGCCAGGGGAAGAAGGGGACTGCATGCAGAAGTGGTGGGGAGAGGCCCACACTTACTCTGGCCCAGGGCCCCACAAAACCTCATCCATCTCTGGGTACAGCTCTTCTCCCCACAACAGGAGATGATCAGTATCCTAACACACTGACTTAGTTTCACTGTTGGGTAACCATCTTTTCAGAAGACACACACAATTCCATAATGCATTCCATCCCCGTCTCTAATGCCGAACACCTCAGGTCAGTTTCACACAAAAAAAATCCACTTAGGATCAAGATACATATGCATGGAACTACACAGCACGATACAGGAAAAGGGACCCATTCACAAAATCATGCACTGGTCTTCCCTGCTCGGCAGCAGCACAAATACGTTCTAAACACGAGTATGCTGCAAACGGCGATATTGAACATCGGAAGGCTCTCTCTTCAGTAAACCCACAAAAGGTATCCGCCCTTGTCAAGTGTTCTTTTTGAAAGGCAACAAGAGGCTAAGCTGCAGAAAGTAATACATACGCTTCAGAGGCAAAAAGTACCCAATCCCTCAGTTCTTCTCCGGGCTAGTGTTCTACTCGAGGGAAGCTGGCTTCTGAAGCATCTGGCAGTGATGTTCCCGATATCTGCCAGTCAGAAAACAAATATTAATGTAATTCCTAACATACCAGCCTAAAAGCAGTATGACCTAGTAAAACTGATCATCAATAACCTTCTGCCTGTCCCAGGTGCAATATCAACAGAACATGGGCAGATTCTTCATTGATCATATTGCAAATCAGCATACATGGTTTTTTCCCCATCCTTCGCCCTTTTTGTTTTCTTTTTGCCTAGAATGGCCAAATCATTTCTGCTCCAACTTTTGGGTTCTATTTCCCACTCTGCCACTAGACTCACTGTGTCACCATGGGCATTGGTCTGTAGCCTCTGCATCTCAGTTCACCCATTTGTAAGCCATGTGCTGTGTGTAACAAACCCTGAAAACAGGTGAAATACACAGGAATTGTGGTTGTACTGTGAACCTCGAACACGGTCCAGGTTTGCCCCCAGGGTAATCCCAGGGTCATAAATTTGGGCCAAAAGTTTTTCCAAAATGGTTCTTTTCCCCATCAAGCTCCAAAACTCCTGCATTGTCCTAAAACAAATTACTCCAGTGACTATGCTGCTACTCATCAGACACCCTGGAATGCAATGTGCTGCAGAGAGAGACTGCCTGGAACCTTTTTGCTCTTGCTGCTTGCAACGTGCTTTGAAAACCTTGGCAGAAAAGCCAAGAAGAACAGTGCAAAGCATTTCATTGGATCGTCACCTGTTGCAAAGCCAGGCTCGGGTTGTGAAGATCGATGGTGGCAAGGGATGGAATGCGAGACTCTGAGACTGTTTTGTTCTCCTTTTTGACAAATCTGGAATTTCGAGCTGCAGAAGACAAATAAATGCATTGCCTGCTATGGATTTTTGTTGTTGTTTTAAGCATACAGTGTCAATATTTCCTTCTCAGAAAACCTGTCACATGCTAATATGATTAAAAAAATAAATGTCTTGATGCAACTTATTTATCATCCAGTTTTAATTAACAGCAAATTAAAGCTCGTACCGTCCACTCCTTTGAGTTCAGGGAGATGGTTATAGTTTAGCTCAGGCAAACGCACATCTGTCTTGGAGAATTCCCATCTTTTCTTGTTTGCCTGAAGAACGTTCTTTTCATTTGAGACCTGAGAGCAAGGGATTGAGTTACAGGAGTAATGTATAGCAAAGCGAGGGGTACTAAAAGTAAAACCATTGTAGTAAGAGGAGGCCCTGAGATATAAACCTTGGTATCAGAGGCCTGGTATGAGGCCTAAGGCCTGAACTAAAGTAATGGTCAAGACTTTGCTAACATAAAGCAAAGTTAAGCTGTGAGCCAGAGGCAGGCCCTGCTCACAGAAGCTGGCAAGGAAAGGGCTGATGCTGCAAAAAGAGACATACCTAAAAGGTACTGGACACCAGATATCAGAACATTCGCATACTTGTACATTCCACACACAACAAGGAACAGGCTGACCCATCCCAATGACAGGGCCAAAAGGGGAATATGATGGATAGTGTTGTTTTGTTCAAACCAACATGTACAAGGTGAGAGACGGCACCTTACTACGTAGAAGGGTTGTACCTTGCTGCATAGAGGGGTTGCACCTCAATACGTCAGGAGTGATGTGTAACTTGTTTGTACCTGTGTATAATAATGTATCCCTGGGGTGGTGTCTTTGTCCGGCCTAGGGGGCAGTGGAAAGTCCCGCCACTGACTGAGCCGGGTCCATTGCCAAGAGGCATCTATTAGTAGTATGCCCGGTAGACTAAGTAATCTACGGGGAACTGCAATTGTGTCCAAGGTCGCAATAAACCTACTCGACCTGACTTTGCATCTTACTAGACTCTGTGGTTATTGGGGGTTCTCGTCGGGTTTGCTGTGTCCGCGATCTGCAGAGCTGGGACAGCACACAGAGGGAACACACGCACGCAGCCGAGTGATATCAACATAGGAGAAAGCAGAGCACCACACCGGTAGCATCTGACAACAACCATTATTCAGGTTTAAAAGAAGCGAGATTCTCTACTATGAGACTTACTCAAGCGTCAGAGTACCAAAACAGCCTGTATTCTTTCCTAGAAACATTCTGTTGAATAATCCTCAAGACAAGCTTTAGGAAATCAGTAATTTAAGGAAATCACCTACACTTACGCAGAACATCAAAAACTGGAAAGTGGTCTCAACTGTGCAGTCCTTACTCAGACAAAACTCTTACTGATCTTGAGAGGAGTTTTGCCTGAATAATGACTATAGCATCAGGCTTTAAATCGGCATGGCCTTTCAAAGAGAATTCCGTGGGAGCCACTAGCCACTCATTTATGTGAGTGATTCATTCGTTTTTACAATCTGTCCACAGAAAATTATAAATGTAAATCCTGAACTACTTGGTCACCAAAGCCAACACCTGTCTCTCCTCCCAGCCTGGCCAGAAACTGTAATTGCACTTGTCTAGAAGAATACATGTCTATCATTTAGATCTCTTGGAGAGCGCCTCTAGCTTAAATAATATTCCAGCACAATACAATCACATAACATGACTGTGAGTAAACTATTATATATGATGTCCCCAAACCAAAGAAGGGAAATATATCTTGAGAAGGCCGAAATGAAAGGTATTAATGACATGAAAGTAAATACTGAAGTTTAAAATACATTGTTTTCACTACAGGAGAAGGATGATGCTTACCGATGTGCCAAAGCTGACATTGTAATGCCCTGCTGGTGAATGTTTCCCTTGCTTTATAAAAGGGGTTAAGTATTTTTTAGTCTTCTCATCAACTCTATAAACAAAAACAAAAAAATCCAAGACTCCAGTCAGAATTAGCAATAATCTCTTGGCAACATCATCATATAAAAATAACGCTGCAATGTGAGACATCCAGCCCTGACAATCAGTTGTTGAGCTCTTGGTCTCTAACATATACACTGCACTGCCAGTGGATTACAACCCTGATCAGAAGTGTACCCTTGCTATTAGTCTTGGGCCTGTCGAGCAATGAAAATCAAGGTCAGTCTCTCCCAGAAGAGTGTGGCATTGTGATACGGACAAACAGCTGCAATGGACTCACCTCAAGAATCCATTCATAAGGCTGGTATCTAGGACTGTAATTGGCAAACTAGCCTGCCAGCGTCCTGTGAGGGTTTGTATTAGTTACTCCAACCAGAGAGGAGAATCCCACATCCTTCTTCGCTGGCAGAACGTAGCATGACATCAAAGCTGGGTCACACTGAAGTGGTGGGGGAGGGCTGGTGAGCGGGCAGATACATTTTCACCACTTTTGATACACACTCTAGATTCCGAACTAAGTTGTTTCACACACACAGTGGGGAAGATTACAATCCATCCCACATATAAGCAAAATCCTGGAATCCCATTGACTTCAAGTGAGAATACTGCCTGTCTAATTTTTTAATCACAGACAGCGCTCTCCTACTCCTGCTTTCTGATGCAAAACTCTTTGCAGTCACTCTTCTCTCCCTGCTATAGTTGTATTTAGGGCTCACTATTGTGCCTTCTATGCACAGACCTGTGTTTGGGGATGGTGTGGGGCCCTTTAACTGCACCAGCAGGAGCCCCAAGAAACAATCTTCAGAGCCACAATACTTCCTGCAGCTACCCAGAGGACAAACGGAGCACAGGTGCTACTGCACCCCTAAAGAGGGTGCAGGGTGATCTCCCTTCTACAGCTGACTAGCTACAGCGGGGACTGAGGTCACAGCCTTGCTTGCCCCCTTTGAGACAGTTACAGTTAGTCCCGCAAATCAGAGCTCAAGTGAGTATGTGTGTCCCAGATCCTGTGCAGAAGGGACAAGAAGGATGATCTTTGCACCCTTCCCTCTTTCATGCCCCTACACCCTGGGCTCTATCTGGCCCATAATTATTAAACATCTGTTACAGCAAGGAATACACCAGACTGCAACACTGATCCATGTCTGTATGTTTCCAGAATAGCTGATAAACCATTATTTGCTAACACAGAACTTACTCCTAAGGGAATTCTGCACCAAAAATATAAAAATTCTGCACAAAATACTTTAAAATTCTGCATATTTTATTTGTCAAAATAACAATATAATCATGTCAGTTTCAATTATTTTGCTAATTTATTTCAAAATACCTGCCAACAAGTATGTCTGTAACAATGCAGACAATGAAAGATTCAGGATTTTTTTTTTTTGGACATATAGATTCCTTACGAAGCATATTAATACAGAACTTTGAGTAATCATTCATTTAAACTACAATACAGAAACGTCCACACCCCTCAGAAGCAGTGCAAAGGCTTGGGGGAGTCAGGGGTAATGGAGGAGCCGAGAGAGAGGGAAGGAGCCTGGGAGTGAACCTGGAGGGTTGTTGGATGTGGCTGGGAGAAGTATGGATGTGTGTGTGTGTGTGGGAGGGTTATGATGGGGTTGGGGAGCCTCCCCCCATGCAGACCCTGGCTGACCCCTAGCCTCTCTCATTCATTAGGCACATCTGCCCCTGTCCCCATGTGTCCCTGCACGTCCATGTATCCCTGCACCTCCTCCCCCATCCCCATGTGTCCCTGCACCCCTTCCCCCATCCCCATGTGTCCCTGCACCCCCTGCCCCTACCCTCCCCCATCCCCATGTGTCCCTGCACCCCCACTCAGCCAACCCTTGCCCCCCCAACCCCATGTGGCCCTGCACCTCCACCCCATTTCAGTCCCCACCCCAGTCTGTCCCCCACACTAGCCCTTTTGAACCCCCGTCTACTTGACCTCCCAGCAACCCCGTGTGCCCTGCTCTATCTTCCCACTCCCCCAATATGTGCCTCCTCACCTGGCCCCGTTGGCAGGGCGCTGTGAGAAATGCAGCTTCTGCTCTCTCCCTATCAGCTGTTACGACTGGTGAGCAGCTGCTCTCTGTTCTTGCGCCACAGCAGCCCCTGGTGGGCGAAAGGCGTAAACTGAATGTATTTTCTGCGGAGAAAAAAAAACTGCAGGGGGACATGAATTCTGCATGTGTGCAGTGGCACAGAATTCCCCCAGGAGTAAGTATTACAGACAAGAACTCGTGTTCACCAGCTGTAGATTCTGGGATCTCCAAATACAAAAAAAAAAACCCAATCAATTTGCTTAGGATAACTGCCTTCTAACTGATACCTTCCTTTGTGGTTACACTCCTAGAGGCAGTCCTCTGTCTGCTCTGCTTTGTGCTGCTCATGTGGTGCAAATAAAGCAGAAAATGACATGACAGTGTCCCCAGAGCTGTCATAGCCAATCCTGATGCCACCCTATGGTGGAAGGAGTGCGTAAGGGCGAGCGTGAGTGGTCAGAGCATGCTGTGCTCTGGGAATCTCTAAATGGTGTTTGGTCCCATAAGGACTGTTGCCTACTGGCATATATTACAGCAGCCATGAAGTTGCATCAGGGCCAGGGAGAGAATCAGGAAGCCATAACCAGCTCCCTTTATGCTCCATGAAGCTGGGAGAATGGCATAAACTCAGGAAAGCAGAAATTCTAACTCTTAAATTCCATAATCTCAAAATACAATTACAGCCCCTCCCCTGTACCGCTGAAAATCTTTTACCACCCACCCAGCCCTGCCCAAAACCCATTTAACCCCCTTCATTGTAACAATGTCATTCCATGACTCTCTCCTTAAGGAGCATTTGCTAAACTCCTCTACTGTTCTATTTAGCTTCCATACCTGTAATTATGGGTTCCAGGAATAGTTCCCATCCCAGAGTTAACACTTATATTGGGCGTGATGGTGGCAAGGTTCGGGATAATGGGAGGAATAACCATGCCTGGGTTCTTTATGTAATCCAAGCTGCTGCTGGAGTCTTTCATGCTTGTCGGAGGGACTGTTTTGAACTGACTGGTTCCACTGTCATACAGGGAGCTCATATTGGAAGATCTGTCAGCTTTCTCCACCTCAGCTTTGGATAATTTCACCTTGAACAGTTTAGAATCTTTGATCTTTGGATCAATGTTGAAGTCCTGTTTAGAAAGAGAAGTGTCACTCCGCCTATTGGGGGTTAGAACGGACGTCAACATTAATTTACGGCAGCATGTGTGGAAAAAGAACAGACGACAGACACTCATAAGAAGCGGTGAGATTCAGGTAGAAGTGTAGTGATGTTATGAAGAAAACACCCGTTTTCCATCAGCAGAAGGTAGAGTTCATAATTTACAAAAGACTTAAAGTCTCACCGTCCTATGTAAATAATTTATTTTACCACATCCCATCAACGCGGGAGGTTTGGTTTGAACGTGTTTAGGAAAATTAAAGGGCATGCTCTTTCTCATCACCTAGGTGCCTAGTAAAATAGCACTAACAGGGCCTAATCGTGTTGCAGGACAGGTCTACGCTACAGTGGCACTGTAACTCTCCCGCTGTAGTGTAGATGCTTCCTACATTGATGGAAAGGGTTTTTCCATCAGTGTAGTTAATCTGTCTCTCCGAGAGATGGTAACTAGATCAACAGAATAATGCTTCCATCAACCTAGTTGTGTCTGCACAAGGGGTTAGGCCAGGGGTCGGCAACCTTTCAGAAGTGGTGTGCCGAGTCTTCATTTATTCACTCTAATTTAAGGTTTCGCGTGCCGGTAATACATTTTAACCTTTTTAGAAGGTCTCTTTCTATAAGTCTATATTATATAACTAAACTATTGTATGTAAAGTAAACAAGATTTTCAAAATGTTTAAGAAGCGTAATTTAAAATTAAATTAAAATGCTGATCTTACGCCACCAGCCTGCTCAGCTCGCTGCCAGCCTGGGGTTCTGTTCACCTAGGCCGGAAGCGGGCTGATCAGGGCCTGCGGCCGGGACCCCAGACCTGGGGGGGGGGAGTTTCAGGGGTCAGGGCAGAGGGCTGGGGGAGGGGGTTCAGGGCAGAAGGCTGGATGTGTGGGTGGTTCAAGGATCAGGTCAGAGGGCTGGGGGGTGCAGGACAGAAGGCTGGGTGTGTGTGGGGGGGTGCAGGGCAGAAGGCTGGAGGTATGGGGGGTGCAGGGCAGAAGGCTGAGTGTGTGGGGGGTTCAGGACAGAGGGATGGGGTTGTGGGGGTGCTGGGCAGAGGGATGGGTGTGTGTTGGGGTGGGAGGGTTCAGGGCGGAGGGCTGGATGTGTGGGAGGTTCAAGGGTCAGGGCAGAGGGCTGGGGAGGTGCAGGGCAGAAGGCTGGGTGTGTGTTGGGGTGGGGGGTTCAGGGCAGAGGGGTCTAGGGAGTGCAGGGCAGAAGGCTGAGTGTGTGGAGGGGTTCAGGGCAGAGGGATGGGGCTGTGGGGGTGCAGAGCAGAAGGCTGGGTGTGTGTTGGGGTGTGGGGGTTCAGGGCAGAAGGCTGGGGGTATGGGGGGTGCAGGGCAGAAGGCTGGGTGTGTGTTGGGGTGGGGGGGTTCAGGGCAGAAGGCTGGGGTGCTCGGCTCGTGGGGGTGCTCCCAGCCCCCTGCCCTGAGCGGCTCATGGCAGGGGGCTGGGAGGGATATGCCCTGTTCCACCCCCTTCCCCCAGGCTCCATCCCTACTTCTCTCTGCGTCCTCTACGGAGCTGTGTGCATGCAGCCGCTCTTCCTCCTCCCCCTCGCTAGGGCCATCAGCTGATTGGCGCAGGGACGGAGAGGAGATGGGGCCGGAAAGCACCACGCTGGGGGAAGAAGCGGGGGAGGAGGGAAGCTTGGCTGCTGCAGAACCAAGCTTCTGTGTCCTGCCCCCGCAGGGGAGAGCGGTGGGCGGGGGGGCTGAGTGGGGCTGGGACCACGTCAGGGAGCTGCGTGCCATTCAAAATCGGCTCGCGTGCCGTGTTTGGCACGTCTGCCGTAGGTTGCCGACCCCTGGGTTAGGCCAACCTAACTATGGCACTTAGGGGGTGGCATTTTTCGCAGCCCTGAGTGACGCAGCTGGGTTGATCAAATTTTTAAGTCTAGACCAGGCCAGTGTCTATTCCTCACTCAACTGAGCATCCCTTCCCAGCAGGCCAAGGTACATGCAACACACCAGTAACTAGGCGATGTTAAGTTATGGAGCATAATATTTCTGAAATTAACATGTGCCGAAAGCGCAGTGACATGCACCATGAAGACGGCATACAAAGCTGATGGACTAAATCATGGAGGATGAGACCCCACATCAGTCGGGGCTTCAGCAACACACATTTCTAGGCTCTGGTATGAAAGCACCATCAGCCTACTCAGCCACAACATTGTCACGCCTGTTTTGACATAACCTGGTGGTGGGTTTTGTTTTTTGTTTTTTTTTAAACACAAGCTGCAACCCATTATTCTGATCCTAGCCTGACACCTACAGCTTTTCATTGCCAGAGGCTCTGAGACAAAAGGAATCCTGGGTACCATGCATGAGGGCTAATCATGTTATTCAACTCATGGGCATAACAGGACACCTCCCATGCTCTTGGAAGGCACAGCTCACCAGAGCTGCCCAATGGAGAAACCCATCTGAGAGCAGGAGAGGGCTGAAAGGAGGATGGGCAGAGGGCTTTTGGAGTCACCGGTGCTTTGAAGAGGCAGATAGGCCAGAAAAGTCTAACGAAAAATAGAGATATCCTGACCTACTTCCAAAGAAATGGAACAAGAGCAGAGATAAGTGTCACTGAGGCAGATCCCAGTCCCTAGCGTGGGATTTACAGCAAAAGTCTCTACATCTGGAGCAGGGATCTGCAACAATTCAACATAATGCTGTGCACGGTCAGTTGATTTACACACTTTAATGAACCCTCATCACAGCTCTGCGTAGTTGGCAGGTAACCATGTACCATCCTTATTTTACCCACTGGGAAATGAGGAAAATGGTTTAAGTGACTTGCTCACAACCACAGATGGAGTCTGCATCAGAGGCAGGATTAATGCTCAGGGCTTGCCGATTCCAAGTCCCTAGCACTCACCTCTCTCAATACCGATAGAACTACACTGAATACTCTCTGGTGCAAAGGCGAGGGAGGGAAATGTACAACATTATACACACAATATAGGAGGGTGTATGTGATGGGTTAGACCTACAATAAGACCCTGGTATCTGGAGATGCTGCTTCCAGACAGTCATTTTGCTATATAGAGTTTAGCACTCCATCCACCTCTGAAAAGGAGGAGGAAAGATTCCTCTGGGGCTTAGCAAGGAAGCCAAAAGGAAATCCAACATTTCTGCACATAAAGAAATAATGCACAGGAGGCTTTACATGAGCTCTGGAATTCCTTATCCAAATGTACTTTAAAAGCATCCTTCACCCAGCACAGCCCCTTCCTGTTCTCTGGATGGATGCTATTTCCAGTAAGTGAAAGCCAGTCCATTAGTCCAGTAAGTTTGCTGGACATTCGCTGGCTGGCTAAGAGCAATGATTGGGCTACATAAAGTCTTTCCTTAGATGTCTGTTGCACCAGTTATATTTTTAAAAGCTTGAGCACTACATAGCTTTTTCTCATCTGACCTTGAAAGAGTCAGCTGCCATCTAATCTGTTCCCTTTTGAAGTCGCTTAACAGGGAATTCATAACAGAAGTGTTGCACTGCATGTTAATGAATCCAGAAAAATTCCTTTCCTAAACCAACTCTGCACTTGTCTCAAATAAAACGGGATTAATGTGTGTGCAGCTTTCAGTTATGAGACCTTTAAAGTTTAAAGTACCAAAAAGGCAAAACATAAACTTAACCATTAACTGAAATAAAACGCAGCTCAGAAATGAAAGTCACTTCTCTTTTTTTAGCACATTCATTTTAAATACTTTGGAATAAACACCAACTGAATTAAAACATGTACTTTTACATTTTATCAGCAATCCACAGATGTGTTTCTCAACTAAAATAACCTAAATCAGACTTTATCCTAGCCACATTTTTTCCTCGTGAATCAAATGTTAATTTACAGGCCTTGGGATTGCCTCAGAGTACAAAGCTTATGAGCAATGGTATTTATAGACACCAAACTGCAGACTATAAAACATATAAAAGAGTTGGATAATGTACAATTATCAAATGGCATGAATTTTCTATAGCATTTGCACTTGGGATAATTTTGAAATTATACACAAGGATCTTTTTTCAAAATAAGTGGCAGATGCTCACCCAGACCACAATTTGGAGAGAATAATATAATGGGGGAAAAAGAATGATGTACAAACATTGATGCAGGGCCAAATGATGCAGACCTTATAGAGAACCCATGCTCTGAAAATCACGTCCCTTAAAGGTGTCTCAGGTAGGACACCCAAGAACCGAGGCACCCAAAATCACCAGTCACTTGAAAATCTTGACTAAGGTCCTCCCCTGAGGCTGTCTTGTCTCCAGAGAATTACCCCTGCGAAATGATACAGCACCAAGCGGCACAGCTGATCTCAACAGCCACAGCAGATAGCCCAGAGTGAAGCTGAGGGTTTTTCATATCACAGCCTGTATGCTATATGTGACCCAGCAACAGAATTGACAGGGAGCAGGTTTAATATACTGCCTAAGACTAACACTGCCCAGCTGGTGCACAACATTTTCTGCATCAACTATAGATTCAGACTGACCTACAAGGGTAGCCTTGTCTTGCATTCGGCCGTGATTAAATCAAGATATAAGAAATACAGCTGGGGTAAGGGAAAATAACTGAAAATTTCAAAGGCTCTTTCATTTCACTGGTTTATTAAACTGGCCAGTTTTTCGCCATTCAAAATTATTTTTTAAAACAAATTTTTCACAGATTTTAAAAGCGTAATTTTTTGTTCTATTTTATAATTGAAATTTTCAAATGCACCTTAGTTGACCAATCAAATGTAGCGATGGAGAAAAATAAAACCAAACCTGGTAAGTGAATGCTAAAAACCGATAAATGAAAAAAGTTGGTCAAAAACTTGCAAAAGATTAACATTTTCAAGAAAAGCTGTAGTTTCACAAAACATTGTTTCTGATAATCGACCAGATTTATTGGAAAAAAATTTCAACAGCTCTAGGTCACAAAAGCGTATTTCCAAGAATTATGCTTGCCTTACCAGAAAGTGATGAAAGAAGGTGCTTTTTTAATAATGGAAAGTAAAAATACACCTCTACCCCGATATAACGCTGTCCTCGGGAGCCAAACAAATCTTACCGCATTATAGGTGAAACCGTGTTATAGTGAACTTGCTTTGATCCGCCTGAGTGCACAGCCCCGCCCGCCCAGAGCACTGCTTTACCGCATTATATTCGAATTCGTGTTATATCGGGTCGCGTTATATCGGGGTAGAGGTGTAGCTATACATTTCTCTATGTAATTACAGAAGTGGGGCGTATGCACACACACAGGCGGATTTTTTAAAAGATTACATGAATACTATTATGGAAAACAAAAACAAGATCTACTAACCTGGATATCAAGCATTTTTCTTTCTTCTCCTAAAGAATCGTCTTTGTCCTTTTTGCTAATTTTTGATTTTTTTGGCAAAGGATGGTCCCTGGCATCTTTCTGAACCTTTAACCTAAGCTCCTGAGTAAATCTATATTCCATATTAAAAACAAATAAAGCAACTTCCATTAGTACAAGATCTACACAACTTGGTGTTCACCCCAAGCCCAGTCAGATTACGTCTCTTTTGAATAAGAAGTCAAACAATTATATTTTTTTAAAATGAGAAATTGGCCAAACTGGATTACCCATTAAAAAGCCTCACAAGTGGCCTGAATATATACATCTAACAAAACATACACGGCAATTACGTCTGTGTTCCAGTTCAGTGACTCCCTCTGCTGCACGCAACGATTAATGATGTAATGTAAAATGTTGTCTGTGTCATTTATGGATATTAGTGAAACATTATGAAAGAGGACACTTGCTCTTGTACTCTGGGACAACAGATGGAATTACTAGGGATTCCGCTTATTTGCAATCGCTCCGTTCCCAGCAAAAAGTTGCTGATCTATCTGAAGGCTGCCAATAAGTGAACGGCAGGTTTGTGCGGCTGCAGCCAGCCCTGAGATGCGCCTTTCCTGGTCGCAGCCCCACACACTTGCCTGCAGCCAGGGCCTTTCTTCCAAAAATAGCTGTCAATAAGCAGCATGCCTAGTGCCAGTCTCTGAATCCTACTAACTTACAGTCAATGGGAAAGGTTTGGTTCCCAGAAAAATGTTGTTATGAACCGAAAGTTGTTAACATCAGGATTGCTATTAAGTAGCATCCACTGTACAATCAATGGGCCCGCTCTTGCTCTCACTGGAGCCAAGGGTGTTTTGCCATTGACTTTATGAAGGGTTAAAATCCATGTGCATGTTATATAACAACCTGGTATATGGATTTGCCAGCTCCTTCTCAGACCCGAAGTCCAGAGTTTGGTTAAGAGACCAGAGGCCTAGCTAATAGTGATTAGCTAAGAGAAAGCAGAATAAACAAGATGACATTGCCTTTGCTAAGATATGCTTGGTCAGTAGAAATGCCAGATGTTGAAGCAATAACTGAATAATTAGGTTTCATCCAATGTTTCAAATTGAACAAAGGATCCCTGTTCCTATTGTGTTTCTCCTGAAGGGAAAACAGTCTTCCCACAAATCCAACCTTGAGTTTATGAAATATTGGCACATGTCACTATAATGATATGGCATCCTTCCACCTCCCTTCCAAGGGACCAATGCCCTGCCTTAGACATAAACGAGACAATCTCTATTTCCATATGCTTTTACTGTTTCTTTGCTTTAACCCTTAGGAATGTATCTGTTGAACAATCAAAGGAGTTGCTCCGTTCCTATGGACCCCAAATCAGAATTCAACATATATATTTTATACTAATAACATTTTATCAAAGTATTAATTAAATGTTAACTTGCTAACTTAAGACCATGGGCGGAGACATTATGTAACCTTTTAACCATTAGCTACTGTGCTATCTTGTCTTGCTGCAAAACCTATCCCGGGGTGTGGAACTGCCTACCCCGTCACTTTCCCCCGCCCATGGAAAATCTATATATTCCATTGTAATCAATTGATTGACAGTGTCTCTGAGCCTAATAAGCAAGGTGACACTCCGCCAGCGCTGTGTGTAATAAACCCCTATGCTTTGACCTCTACACAGTGTGGATTTATGTCCTTCACTTTAATAGGAGCGGGATTAAATGCTTCTGTGAAACTGGTGGTACTCTCTCCTGGTATTTTAGAGAACAGGTCACTTGGAAAAAAGAATGCACATAATTTCTGCATCAGAAATTAGGGAATATCCTTTGTGTCCCCCATTTTAGCACCTGCCTGCACAAGACTTCAAGCATATAAACTGGTGTCGATCCTTATCAGCGATCCTTATTCACATTAGTTTGCTACTTAGCAAGTAACACAAGACTCAATGTAACAAGCGTATATGGGCCTGAACCGAAACCCACTACAAACAATGGGAGCACTCCATTGATTTTAATGGACTGTGGAATACGCTGTATATGCAACCACGTGGTGTTGATACTGTACTACTTAAATAAGCCACTCAGGATCTGACTTACTAGGATTACAGTATTTTGCCAGACTTAGATAAAGTTAAGTATAATTGTGTTTTATTATTTAATCATCTAGAACAGTGGTTTTCAAACTGTGGGTTGGGACCCCAAAGTGGGTCATGACCCTGCTTTAATGGGGTCGCCAGGGCTGGCATTAGACTTGCTGGGGCCTGGGGCCCAAGCCCAAGCACCATTGCGTGGGGCCGATGCCCGAGCCCCACCGCCCTGGGCTGAAGCCGAAGATCAAGGTCAGGTTACAGGCCCCCCACGTGGAGCTGAAGCCCTTGGGTTTCGGCGTTGCCCCCTCCCCCTGCCTAGGGCAGAGGGGCTCGGACTTTGGCCCCCCCCGCCCAGGGTGGCCGGGCTCCAGTAGCTTCAGTCCCCGCTCCTAGGGACATGTAGTAATTTTTGTTGTCAGAAGGGGGTCGCAGGACAGTGAAGTTTGAGACCCCCTGATCGAGAATTACTCAAATTTTGTTGAGAGAAACTGAACAAACCTGGCCAAATAATTCACACTCCTATTTCTAATACGTTTTCTGTGCATTTTATGGCAATAACTCGATGAATATTTTTATAGGCAATTCTCTAACTTTCCCTGGGCACGCTAATTTTCTTTTTTCTGCTAAACATGCAGCAAGTACTACCCTCATGTAATGCTAACCACACTGAAGGCTGCTCTTTATCCGAAAGTGCAGTTCTACTCTGCAAAAGGACTAGGTAAAAATGGCACTGTTCAGGGCACCGTGTTTACTGTTCGCCATTTTCCATATCAAATGTGCTCAGTGTACACGTAAAGTCTTGTGCTTTTTTCTAACTGCCAGCCCTGCAAACTCAGCACGGAACCTCACACAGCTCAGTGGCATTATTTCCTTCTCTCACACGGCCATTTTGACCAAGAAGCCAACAGACAACGTACCTTTCCGCAAATCCATCTTTGTTAAAGAAATCGCACTGCAGTAGCTCAGCACAGGATGGCCTTTTGTCCGGATCGACCTGCAAGCATTTCTAAAAGACCCAGGTAAATTTTGGTAGGCAACTGCAAATGCAAAATCTTTGCTATGTCTAAATAAAAGTCACTAAAGAGACAGTAAGAAAACAAATAAACAAGGTCCAAAGTTATAGAAGAAAACACTGCTACAGTGTGATTAAGGGATGAAACCAGGGAGGACAAACTGGAGGAATTTAACAATGTTTGCTTGCTGCATCTATTTTAGTCAATGACACTTGGAAACTCCATCCATATGGAATTGCTGCCTTTAACGGACAGACATCAATCTGCTTTCTCCTCAATTGTAACCATCTCTCTCATTTTGATTATTTTAATGTTTTGGTTGGGATTTTACAGCATGGACAATGTTAAGCATTAGAAACCAAATAAGTTGTGTTCAAAGTGTTATTTTATTTGGCCAACAAAATTATTGTATTACACACACACACACACACACACACAGTAGCAGCAGCAATGTTCAATACATATTTTCCCAAAACTAAAAATCTAAAGCAGCTAAGGCAAAATTGAGGGTTTTCTAGAGGCTAATTGCCATTGTAACAGAGGCAGAAAATTCTGGGGAGGAAGATGAAGGGCAGACTCCTGTCTACTCCTTCCCACCATCAAATGACAGACCTACTTGCTCGCGTTCTTTACAAGGAAAGCTACCGACTCCAGGAGTTACAGGGAAGTGGCTCTCTGGCTCATAGACTATGCACGCGGAATGCAGCTAGCTATAGGGAGAGAAAGTTGCTCTCCACGTGGCCACACAATATAAAATCACATATCACAGAGAAGGGGTGTTTTAACTGCTCCTTGCTAGGATTTTGCATCTGTAACACACTGGTCAGCATGTGTTACCTGTCCCGCTCTGTGCCCAACCCACCGCTTAAGAGTCTGGCAGACAGGGCCGCCCCTAGCCATTTTGTGCCTATGGGGTCTCCAAATCACTAGCCAGACTAGACCCTACTTCCCACCACCACCACCCTCGCAGCTGCTCGACGTGAGAGGGGAACAAAGCATGTGGAGCAGGGACCACAGCTCTTGCTCCCTGTGCTCAGTGGCCATGGATCCAGGCAGGAAGGAGAGCAGCTCAGAGCCTCCTTCCCCACCCATCACCAACCCCACAAGTTGGGGGGGCCTCAGCTCCATCCCCATTCAGCCAATGAGGTAGCAGACAACAAGAGAGAGCCTATCCTCCCTCTGCCAGTGGCACAGCTCACAGAGCCTATCCGAAGTGCAGGGGACACAGGGCAGTGGAGAAAACAGATCTATGAAAAGTCTCCGGGGGGCAACCGTCCCCCTGGCAAATGATGCCCCTGAGTGCAAAAGCAATAAGTGGGGCGAGACAAAGGGGGTCAGGACCCAGTTGACCCAGGGTAAGGACAACAGCCAAAGGTGGAAGCAGAAAGCACAGACAAGGTGATGAGGACACACTAAATACTAGAAGCAACAGCAGCGTTTTGTTTAAAGAAAGAGGGCTGCGCACCATGTTTTTTTCTACTGCCAACCCAGCTAATGGTTAATTAGACTGGGAACTGACAGAAAGCCAGAAACGCAGCCTCTCCCTTGCATTTTTGATCCCTCCTCCCCAAAATCTAAATCACAGAACCTTAAGAGCAAAGGGAAGATGGACAGAAGGAGAAAACAGAAGACCAAGGCATATCCAAACTAATTAATTACCTTGGCTAAATCCAACACTGCCGCAGAGAGCTTGGGATACCGTCTTTCAAGAGGTTCGGCCTCCTTGACCTCTGGCAACCTCACTCCAGCAAAGAGTGGATTTTTATAGAACAGCTCTTGATGGCGTGGAGTTAAGTTGCCTGGAATGGATAGGTTATATTGTTATGGTATCACCAATGCATACAGAAAGCTTAGCACAGACTGTAGCCCTCTGCTTGATTGTAGATGTCAGTGCCAGTAAACATTACCACTGTCCTTACGCTAGCTACAGCTCTCAGCGGTCTCACTGTGGTTCATTATCCTATCAGACATTTTGGATCTAGAACCTCAAAGGCAGCCAATATGAAAAGGCTTTTCTTGGCTGAGAAAACTATCGCTCAACCTGGCCCAGACTAACCTTAGAGACTGAGACCCTTCAGTGATGCCTTTGCAGGGTCTCTCTTCCCTTTTACAAGCAAAATTAACTGTGGCTCCATTTTCAAGCTAAAAGAGACCCCCTCCCTTTTACAGCATATAAAGGAATTAATGTTCTTAAAATGCTGCTGCGGCCAGCACCCCAGTCATCACTTCTCACGTCATGATTCATTTAGCTCTAGCCAGTGCCTGTGACGCCGGGCGTTCCGCTATGGACCTTGGCAGGAATGGGCAGTTTAACTGGAGTGACCGTTACTGCTTCTAAGAACATAAGAACAGCCATGGTGGGTCAGACCAATGGTCCATCTCGCCTTGCATCCTGTCTTCTGACAGTGGCTGGTGCCAGATGCTTCAGAAGAAATGAAGAGAACAGGGCAATCATCAAGTGATTCATCTCCACCATCCAGTTCTGACTTCTGGCCGTTGGAGGCCTGGCTTAGGGACACCCAGAGCATGGGGTTGTGCCCCTGGCCACTTTGGCTAATAACCATTGATAGGCCTATCCTCCATGAACTCATCGAGTTGTTTTTGTTTGTTTTTTACTCACCCAGTTATACTTTTGGCCTTCCAAACATCCCCTGGCAAGGAGTTCCACAGGTTGACTGTGCGTTGTGTGAAGAAGTACTTCCTTTTGTTTGTTTTAAACCTGTTGCCTATTAATCTCATTGGGTGACCCCTGGTTCATGTGTTATGTGAAGGGATAAAGAACACTTCCCTATTCACTTTCTTGACACCACTCCGGATTTTACCATATCCCCTCTTAGTCATCTCTTTTCTAAGGTGAACAGTCCCAGTCTTTTTAATCTCTCCTCATACGGAATCTGTGCCATGCCCTAATCATTTTTGTTGTCCTTCTCTCTATCTTTTCCAGTTCGAATACATATGTTTTTGAGATGGGGTGATCAGAACTCCATGCAGTACTCAAGGTGCGGGCGTGCCATGGATTTCTCTGAAAGAACCCAGCCAGCAGCATCAGGGGCGTGCTCCTCTGCTGAGAGCTCTCTTGCAGGGGGCACGTCAGGGTTCCACTCTCACCCTTCCTGTTCAGGGGGTACCGTACGTAAGGCCACTAGGGAGACCGCCTGGGGTGCCTGCAGCATTCTGACCGAGTTCTTCCTTTCGCCAGCTCCAACTTGTGGTCTTTTGGCTTCCGCAGTGTCTGGCCAAGGTCTGTGGCTTAGATGAGTGCACGCTAGCTGAGGCTCAGTCCGGATACAATATTTGTGAGGACAGTGGGATGGGGGGGAAAACTCAAGGAGACAGCAGATGCACTATCTGTCCCTTTAACTGAGGGCACTTTGGCTACTGAAGTCTGCAGTCTAGGGGTGCCGTTAGGAACCTGGCAGCTTCTGGCTAGCCAGATGGCTGTGGTAGCCTAGAGAATCATTTTAAATATTCCCTTGGCAACGAAGCTGCTTCCTTTCCTATCAGATGCGGACATGGCCACATCTACGTGGCATAACCTTTGGCTGCTAATAACCTAAGACCAGCTTGCTTCTAACCAGTCACAGTCAGACACAGCAGAGGACAGATTGTGGTATTTTCAAATCTTACAGTGCTGTAATCATTAACAAAAAATATTCACGTTCCAGCCTAGGAGGCAAGAGGTGAAATGAAAAACATCTGGGGGTCTTCACCAAAGCCCAAGAGGATATTTGTCCACTTGACAAAAAACACCCTGTTTTGGCCCAATCATCCGTCTTTACCAACTCTCCCCCCCCCCTCCCCCCCGACTGAAACAGCATGAGGGCATTAAGGCAAGAATCAGGCGCTTTGGCAAGACTGTTTGCACAGCGTTTGCTTACACTACTCCCAGTGCCGCCCTTTTTTCATTGCCACGATGTACCATAAGCCTTTGCCAATTAAACACAGAAAAAAGCTGACATGTTCTTACCCAGACATTTCATGATATGGTACAGCTGGTCAATGTCCGAGTCGCCAGGAAACAGGGGCTCTCCTGTAAGCATTTCTGTGACCAGACAGCCAATGGCCCACACATCCACAGCCCTGAAAGAAAAGCACCGAGACTGAAACCAGCTCCGGCAAAACCATCTCAGGGTAGTTTCCTTCTTACATCTGAGCCCAAAGTTGCCGGTGTTCGTTGCCCAGAAGGTCACTGCAGGCTGCATGGCCTGACGCAGCACTGCCCAGGACAGCGCATGGTTTTGGCATGTGGCAAGATGACTGTTTTCAGTTTTAACCACGCATAAAAAAAGTGAAGAGCTGTTTAATCAAAACCTTAGTTCACAAATGATGCCACCCACCCTCATGTAACACAACACACTGTAGTATTTTCCCCCTTATTAACAAGGCAGAAGCTGAGAAGCTCTTTCCTAAGGAGGGATTTGTTTTTAAGATTTATTTGCTGAAGGTGGATTTAAGGTTCTATAAAGAGATAATATGTACATACATTTTTGTAAAGGGACCAAACCAGGATTTCGCCCACTGAAGTCCATGGGAGTATTGACCAAGTCTACAGGATTGATCCTCAATGCAAAGAAATCCCATTAATTCCACACACCTCCCGTCAGGGCCCTGCACATCTGTCCAAGTTCTGAGGAGCCTTCCACCCATCTAATTTTAGCATTCTCCTCCACTATACAACCTGCAGCCTTCAGAATCCACAATGCTGTTAGCATCTTTCTGTTTGAAGATGATAGGAAGGATCTATCCATCCATCTCAGGAGTTTCCACTGCCTTCGCCCATCACCACAGTACCCAAGCAGCTTCCATGTAAAACAGATTGGCAATAGGGAGGCCCCTAGGGGACTTTAATGAGTCTCTGGCTCTTCTATCTTTGTGTGTTATAGAAACTGTACTGGGGGGTGGAGGTTGTTTCGGAAGGGGAGTTGTTGTGTTATTATAGTTATGGTGGAAAAGCCTTCTTATAATTTGTCTGCAAAGCAGGGAAAACCCTCTGCAATCTCTTCTGCCCATTTTCTTACTTGCCATACTTGGTATCGCCAACCAAAAGTTCTGGAGCTCTGTACCATCGCGTTGCCACATAGTCAGTGTAAGCTTCACCAGGGGCTGCCAGAGTACGAGCGAATCCAAAATCACAGAGTTTTACAACTCCTGATTGGGAGACCAATATATTTTCCGGTTTAATGTCTCTGTGTATTATCTAACAAGAGAAGCAAAAAGTATAATTGAAGAATTTCCTGTTTCTCTATCACGAGAATTTACATTCTGTAGACCGACCCACCAAAAAATCTAGTGCCATTGTATGTATGTAAAAACTAAGCTTCCACTTGCACAGTGGATACCAAAGCTGAGTCTTCAAAAGACGTTCATGCATACACAATCCGTGCACAAAGCACATGCCAAAACATGCATGTGGGTGCACAAACACCCATTTTGCATACAAATTATCATTTTGTGCACGGGAGTGTGTCCTTTGCACATGAAGTTACCTAGCACAGATACTTTGCAGGCACAATTTATGTGCCTGATTTTGAAAATCTGCCCTTACAACTTTTATTCTTTAAATAAATGGTCAAGTGTTGTGCTGAGACATCTCAATGCTTTGGGTTTATCATGCAGCTAAAAGTAAAGAATTTCTATGCACTAAAACAATATTGATTTCCCAAATATACAAGAAAATGCTTCTTCACACAATGTGAGATTAAACGGAGGAACTTATTGTCACAGGAAGTTGAATCCAACAATTTAACAAAATTTAAAAAAAGTGAATATTTAAAGAGACATCATGAATATCCAGAATCAAAATTAACAACAACAACAAAAATTTAAGAGCTATTAAACCTCATACATCAGAGCTTAAATAAATCTCTAACCATTGGAGACCAGGATGAGACCTATGTGAAGGACAGATTATCCCACATCTGCCTACTACAGAGTTCTTACATCTTCAGATGCATCTGAAGAAGTGAGGTTTTTACCCACGAAAGCTTATGCCCAAATAAATCTGTTAGTCTTTAAGGTGCCACCAGACTCCTTGTTGTTTTTGTAGATACAGACTAACACGGCTACCCCCTGATACTTGACATCTTCCTCTGAAACAGTTGGTGCTGGCCACCATCAGAGACAGGCTAGAGGACTGGATGGACCTTGGGTCGGAGTCCCTCTGGGACTATGAAATACTGTCACTATTAACATTTGCATACTTAACATATTTCTTTCTAGTTGAAGCTTTACTTAAAATAAGTACCTTAGCAGCTACTCATCCATTCAAGTTGTTGTTTTCTTAAATGCAAAGTTAACCTCATCAATCTACTTACATTGTGACTGTGACAAAATCCTATTCCTTTTATAATCTGAAATAAAGATTTCCGAACTCTATTGTAATCTAGTCCATGTGGAAACAGCTCAAGGTCGTCGAGGAGTGTGTGATCCACAAATTCGAACACCAGATACCATCGTTTCTTCTTCTTACACACTTCCAGCAGGTTCACCAGATTTTCATGTCGAAGTTGCTGTTATATAACAATAAATACTTTAGGAGAACATATCAGCATTTACCAGCAAGAGAGATCTAGAGCCCGAAAATTTAACTGCAATACACCTGGTATCCCAAACACCCTCTCGTCTTTGACATGACACTCATGCTGATTTATATTTAAAATTGGGTCCCGAGGGTTTCATAAGAACGGCCACACTGGGTCAATCCAATTATCCATTTAGGCTAATATCCTGTCTCTGACAGTGGCCAGTGCCAGATTCTTCTCCAGAGAAAATAACTTTAATTTCATAAGTCAAAGAGGCACATGTACACATTTTACCAGAGTCAGAAAAAGCAACTGAGTAAATACACATCCATATTTAGTTTACAATAGAAAGGTTGACACTGGGAATCTCATGATTGTATTCATAAAGGGAATTTTCAAAGCCCACCTCCGCTCTTTGGTAGATAGTTCACAGCAACTGGATTTAGATCTCTACAGTTCATGAGTCCTTGCCCTGTGAAGGTGACCAGTATTAAGTTGGGCCCCAATCCTGCAAAGACTTCAGTGAGTGCATAAACAGAAGCATGCACTTAAATTAAAGGGGTTATTCGCAGTGTGTAAAGTTAAGTATGGGCTTAAGTGTTTGGGTCAGGATATAACCTAACAATAAAATCCTGCACAGACCTGTCCATGGGAAGGATTTCTGCCCCTGTAGGGGCAAACCAGAACCCCAAGAAGTCCTCTAGCACAGATGACAAGGGGGCTAGTTTTTACTAGAAAATTCAGTCACGTTAGATCACATCCTCAAGGCATTACAGTAAATAACATGCTGCCAAGCACGACTTTCCGCTCAGGGTAGACAGGGGCAGTCATATTTAACCTTAACTCGGCTGGCCAGGAACAAACCTTACCAGACCCACAGTATTACCCACGAACAGTTAACACAATGTTAAACACAGCTTGTTCCTGTCATGTCCAACATTGTCTTGGTTAGCCCGGCTCCTCAAAGTCATGTTCTAACACAATCTAGCAAATACAAGCCCCAGCTGTTCACAATCACCCATCCCTGCCAGTCCTACAGGAACAGAGTCTTCCAGGGATGCGACTGGTGTATTGTAGCAGCTCTGTTAGAGGAACCGCTGAAGGCAAGTACTTGTATCTGAGGGAAGGGCCTACACGGTTAAAATTCTTCACCTTTATCCTCTCCACCTGTTTCAGGAAAGAGTAATGTGCTGCCAAAAATCACAGAACTCTTCTCTTCCCTTCCTTTTCCTATTCCCCTCTCCACTCGCAATTACAAAAATTTTGTCTATAATAATGCAACTTACAGAGCTGTGCCAATTCACCACCATACTCATGTGCTTGTAAGTGTTAACTCCATACCTTACCCTTTGGCTGCACGTGTTTTTAGACTGTAAACCCTCTGCAGCCAGGATACTTTCTTCTCTGTGACTTTACGTGGCCTGGAACAATGGGGCTCCAATCCTAACTGGGGTCATTGGGCATTCCCATAATGTAAATATTTACAACAAATAATAATAGTGCTGCAATACCTTTAAACTAAACATACAAATGGAGAGTTCAAACTTCAGCATTCTTCTCTAAAATTCTGTTAAGACATAGTTTAATGAAACCTGTTTATCTGACACAGTCAGGTTAAACAGTAACATACCAAAGAGAGGGAGGCACCTTTGAGATTTTTTTTTAAAAATGATGGTTTAGAAAAAGGGTAAGTCAAAACTGCAAATGAAGCCATGGAGGTGTGTTTTCTACTCATTTTACTGCCATAGTCTAACAAGAGAAAAGTCCAACTCAAGAGCGTTTTACATTTGTATTATTAGCTTATCTGTAGAGGCAACAAAACAAAACCCACACTGCTAAAAAGAGAGTTGTAATCCATGTTGCAGTTGGTAATATTTCTGAAAAGTACTCAAGAAATCATACAAGACATTTTCAAGGTGTTGTATTTGGAAGCTACCATATGAACACCAACCCCAAAATTCACAGTATCTAAGGCCTTGTCTACACACAAGTCATACCGCTTCAATTATACCAGCATACTTAAAGTGGTGCAATCCCTTTAGTCTGGATGCTGTTACACTAGTATAAACGGGCTTAGGGCTTGTCTGCACTACAGTCTTGGCTGAAATAGCTACGCGGGCAGAGCCCCCTAGCATAGACTCAGCGTAAACTGGCATATCTACAGCACCTGTCCTAACGACATTAGCTAAGCTGATACAAGCACTCTTCTGTTGGCATAGTTGTGTTTACACTGAGGGGTTTGCCAGCATAGCTGTGTCTGCTGGAGGGAGGGAGATCCCCTCCCCCCTCCCCCCTCGCCCCCCACACACTCCTAGCCAGCATAGCTACGCCGACAAGACTTTGTAGTGCAGACGAGGCCTTAGGCTGGCACAGTTTATTCCTGTTGGGGAAGGGGAATACCCTAGACCAGTATAATGCACCTTCATACCATCTTAACTGTGCCAACACTAGGGGCTGTACCGTATATACTGTCTCAATAAAAAACCACCATAGTGACACTAGTACAAAAACCGTGTGCAGGCTGAGCCTAACAGTCCATCTGAACAGCACCACCCTGCAATCAGGCAGAAAGTGACGTCTGAAGTATAATGCTTGACATTGTCACTTACCAAAACAACGGTGGAAGTTGCATATGCAAATGCAAGAATGCAGGAACATAAGCAAAATATCCTGTAATACTCCAGTCCCATTAGCTATTTTGCTGGGAAACAACTCCTTCTGGCTCTTTATGGATTAAAGGGGAATGTACTGGATGGGCCCAGAAGGGGAAATCTCATTCGAGGACAGCTGAGGTTGTACTGAAGTGAGGCTGGGCTGAAGGGATGGAATGAGATTTAGGACCAGCTCATGACTATAGCCCACCCCAGAAGGTGCAGAAGGACCACACAGCAGGGGGAATTCTCTCCGACTTTGGAACTGTGCACTTGGTACTTGGATGCCACGGTGACAAACCCTGCACTAGACAGACCCAACAGGCATGGAATTCTAAAGCCCAGTCAACTAATAAAGAACTTGAACAACAAGTTTCAGAGTAGCAGCCGTGTTAGTCTGTATCCGCAAAAAGAACAGGAGTACTTGTGGCACCTTAGAGACTAACAAATTTATTACAGCATAAGCTTTCGTGGGCTACAGCCCACTTCTTCGGATGCAGAAGTGGGCTGTAGCCCACGTAAGCTTATGCTCTAATAAATTTGTTAGTCTCTAAGGTGCCACAAGTACTCCTGTTCTTTTTGAACAGCAAAGTAAAAGAACCCGATCAAATAAAGATGAAATGCTGGGAATAGCACTGTTCACTCTTTATTCAGTATTTCACGTCACTTTAAATCTACTCGTCGGTCTTGTAACTGGGTGAGCTGCTTTATTGAGTCAATAGGCTGTTAAACAGGACAGATTTGTTGTAACGTATGGAGAGGAATTTATTTTTACTAGGTCTGCCATACACAGCAAAAATCAATCAGTTCAGTTAAGCAGCATTTTACAGAAGAGGGAGTGGAATTAAGTCTATTATGCCTAGCCAAGTGCTGGGTTACTTTTAATAAACTGAACACATGTTCCCTAAGATCAGATGCCTGCTAATTGACTGCTGGATAAGTCCTATGGACTCTGGAAAACTGGGCCTAAAATTCCACATCATGGATATACAGGCTTCTGTCCTACTCAGCTGTGCCAATATTCCTGGCATTTTCAAACACCGAGGCTTTTATAAAATTCACTCTGAAAGTGACTCATTCAATCAGCATAGTATTCCCAGCATAGTATTCATAATAAGATATTATATGTATGGTATCCCATCACCAGGTTTTCGTGGTACCAAAGAACAGTACATCAACAACAGCTAAACGCACAGTGGGAGCTGCCAGGAGAAAGCGGGAGTTCAGGGCATCTGAGAGGAGGGCAGCTGAAAAGTTGTGGGAGGTGGTTAGAGTTTCTGGTCCCCAGGAGGTGCAGAATGTAGGTATTGGGGAGGAGAAGCACCTCAGGGGTCTCACCTCCTTGCAGGGAAGGGGGAAAGTGACTTCGTATCTGTGGAAAAGGAAGCATGAGCTGCCTTGCCACCCCAGACAAAGCAGCCAGGGATCCTAAAGTGCCACACCCCCGACAAAGAGAGGTAAGCACATTAGCTGAGTGTTCCTGCGAAAATGATCAGCAGTAAAATAGTTCATGTTCATATTTAATTTGTCATTATTAGGTTTCAGAATCACCACCACTTGAAACGAAGAGGCACAATTCACACCTATCCTACTGTAAGGTCTGAGGCCTTTTTCTGCAGTAATCAGCAGCAGCCGCAGTAGGACAGCAGCAGCCATGAGCTAAGAAGCAAAGAATCACAGCCTCACATTCCATCTAAATTGTCCTATCAGGCTGTTAAGAAGGCACTCCTATCCTAATAGTTCCCACCAGCACCAGATAAAGAAACAGAGTAAGATGTTTAAAGAAAACTTTGTTTGACAGCATTCTGTCTGGCAAGGAGTCACTTAACATTTGTGATTGTGAAATCTATACTTCTTTATTGTTTTGCCTTTATGGTCCCTACTTCTCTATTGTTTATCTGTATGGTTTCTGTCTGATTCTTTGATTCTTGCATAACTAATTTTGCAAGATTTAAATCAACTAAGGTGCTGGGGTCTGATTGGTTAAAGAATTGTTTCATAGTAGGCTAGGATTGGTGAAAAATACTGTCTTGCAGTACTTCAGTTTAAAATGATTGGTTAAGATATAGCTAAGTAGGACCCAAGTTTTAACTATATGGGGTCCAAAAAGAAGTTCTTTGGAACCTAAGTCCAGGACCCAGCCCAAGATCAGAGCTGCCAGACCTCAATACCCTGGCAATCATACCAGGCAGAAGCCAGAGCCCCAGACAATCTAATCTTGACTAACCATCAAGAAAAGTATGTCTGCCTTATTGGGAGTGGGGAGCATTGCATGCTTAGCATGTGCATTCTGTTATGGTGATTGTTAATAAATAGAGGTTAAGGATATTATTGTGTAAGGCTCTTTCACTGGTAAAAGGCCCCGCAAACCCACAGAAGATTACACCCTGAGCCCTAGGAACTGGGTAAGGATGGCGGTGCCTAAATTAACGAGGTTACGCCTTGAGCCCAGGGAAGGATAAAGGTGGGGGGGCCCTAGAGTGTGCGGGTAACACTGCAGCTATAGTTTCAGGCTATTTACAGATTCAAGCATGGGTTTACTCATTGCTTAGGACAGGAATATTTGCTTCACAGCCGTAAGAGCTAAAGAGGGGTTTGTCTTTTTTGTTTTGTTTTTTAATTAAAGCTTAGATTCTGGAGAAAATTCCACAGCTGTTAAAGACACCGGACTCCATCCATGTGGAGCAAACGTAACAAGATTAATTCTCCTGACATGTATTTTCACTGACTGTCTACATATACTGGACCATGGCATATTAATAGTAAAAAGCTGTTTGCCAAGCTGTCTTTCATCCAGGAACAAAAGTTAATTTCTAAGATACCTGGGAGCGGGGTATGCCCGGGGCTTGATACCACACAGCATGACTGCTAATGGACTGGATAAAACCCAGGGTCAAACTGGCTTGCCTCACAGTAGATTGGGGAACCAGAACTTTTCCCTAGTGGTTGTAACTTATGCTCAGCATCTAAGCTTTCATTTAAACTTTTTAAAAGGATAGTTGTGTCTACGGTTGTGAAGATTACATTCATTTCACATTTTCAGGGTTAGGTGATGAAGCCATATCTGCCTGAATCTGCTGACAGCCTGAAACAAAAACTCTGCAGTATGTGTAAATTGTACCCCTTCATTTAATAAGGGGAGATGACACTGAAGCCTAATGACGACACTGTTTCACTGCTGATCAAAATTGTACAAGACAGAGGGAAGGGCCCATTGTGGAAATCTGCACAACATAGTGTGAAGAGCATTTTAGTCTGGTGTTATGAGTGGGTAGAGGACAAGGGAATACCAGGACTTAGTTTGTTCCCATCTGACCCAGGATAATACTTTATCCTTTGCAATGCCCTGTACACCTCTACCCCGATATAACGCTGTCCTCGGGAACCAAAAAAAATCTTACCGCGTTATAGGTGAAACCGCGTTATATCGAACTTGCTTTGATCCGCCGGAGCATGCAGCCCTGCCCCCCCGGAGCACTGCTTTACCGCGTTATATCCGAATTCGTGTTATATCGGGTCATGTTATATTGGAATGTGAGGTCTATCCTTGTAGAGTGCAAGGAAACTGTGGCTAGTACACAAAGCGATGGCCCACATTCTGAACTGGGCAAACTCTGTATTCTGTACTGGCTGCCAATCCCAAGTAACTAGGGGATTACGTCATCTCTTTTAATCCACACCACTGGGGCTAATCACATTTTTAGAGGCAAGGAAATACTTTCATATCAGGAGAGATGGAAAAAACTGGGACTCTTTGTTCGGAAAGGAAATGAGTGGAAGGGGATGTGAAAAAAGTATATAAATTACTGAATGACACAGAAAAGGTAAATCAGATGGTCCTGTTTACCCTCTTATAGTACAGAAGACAGTAAATTAAACTGGAAAGTGACAAAATCTAAAATGGATAAAAAATGGTTTTAATAAACCACAATGTATAATAAGTCTATGGAACTCATGGCCACAAGCTATCACTGAGTCCAAGAGCACAGCAGGATTCAAAAAGGATTAGAAATGTGTATGGAGAACAGAGAATATCCAGTTGCATTAAACAGAACAAACAAATCTAAGGATTATAAAACTGCTCAGTGCATGGCATAAGTCAACCACTAACTGATGGGGCTTGGAAAGAAATTTACCCCTCTGGGTAGATTATTCCACAATTATCTATGATGCAGGTTTTCTTGCACCTTCCAATGAAGCATCACATACTGGCAGTTATTGGAGATAGAATCCATATATCAGTGCTCTGAACTGGTCTGCCAATTCCTGTGGTTTTAGGTACAGTGTCACACACTTCTGTTGGGCTCCTGTACACCTCTTGCTGTCAGAAGTTCCTTTTTTAATTTGTCACATGCAATGCTCCACTTCCAGTCATCTAACAATACTAATATGTTTCCAATTGACAGATGAAGAGAATATCTGCCAACAGCACCTTTAAACACCTTTAATTGCAGTCAAGGGGGAATCAAGTTTGCAGCTTCATTTGCATCTCATTTCCTTTCATCCTTCCCTCATGAATAGAGAGCACACAAACACATTCCTAACAAAGTTAGTGTCAGCCAACTAACTGAGAACAGCACCTAACCAAACAGAAAAGTAACTCCCAATTGATCTGGGCTAACTGCCAAATCAATCTACCATTGGTATTTTTAAAAACAACAGTAGCTGACCATACCTAGATTGTTTCATCTAGATTGTTGCTATATTCTAAATGTAAACATAAAATGACTTTCCACTAGAAATTTAATTTTTTTCAAAAGTAATTCAAATTCTAAGATCACAAACATCCTGTAATTTCAATGCAGAGACAAGACACTACTCATTAAAGATCTCTCAATACATAGTTTAGCAAGGTTTAAAAAAAATATTCCCTAATACACATTTATAAAGCTGTCCAAGATTATAGTGATATATAGTTATGAATATTCTACACATAAACATAAACAGATGATAATGGATAATTACTAGCTTTACTGTAGTTTTTGCATTTTTGAATTGTCTAGGGCTGCGAAATGTGACAATGTAAGACCCTGATTTAGGAAAGCATCCCCATTCAAGAAAATATTTAAGAGAACGTAGTTAACTGCTTTCCTGAATCAGGATCTAAGACCAGAATATACTTTTCTTCTTAACCCTAGCAGCTGAGGCTACTATATTACTGTAATACCTTCCCAAAAAAATCTTCTGTACTGAAGTTTTCAGTAACACGACTTATCTAAATAGATGGTGTGCCTCTTATATAAAGCTATCTTTCTTAGAAGAATGACAATCAAAATATGCATCAAAACCCACCATTTACTTCAAACTGTTTCAGCGTCTGTAAAACTTAAATTCCTAGACTAATCCTGGGACTTTCATATAGAAGTGTATTTACTGTAAGTGACTGCTGCGCACACTGGGTAAAATGGACCCGGTGTCTGCATGTTACTTTGAACTCACCTTGAGTAGCTTGATTTCTCGCATGGCAATTTTTTTAACCATTTTATCATCCTCACTTTCCAAAAACTTCTTGATGGCGACTATTCTTCCATTGTCTTTATTTCTACACTTCATTACCATTCCGTAGCTTCCTTCTCCAACTAGCCCAAGGGTCTCATACTTTTCCATTTTAACTCCGAAACAGCTGTGTCTTTGTGCTGAAAGCCATAAACCAGGATAAGCATACACAACCACAAGGTCTACATTTCTGACAAATTCTCCACAGCTTTTACTGCTATGAGTCTCCCCCGGCCCCCACCATCAGACATACTTAATCATAACCTTCCCAAGTTGTGCTCTGTGACCTCCCAGGAGTCCTTATGAGAGACAGTAGATAAAAAACAACATAGCAGGCTGAGTGTTTGTATTGTTTGAGATGTCTCAGCACATTTTTTTAATGGAAACAAAAGGACAAGGTCAGAAGCCTGGACTGAAGTTAACAAAGTAGTAGCGAGACTTTTGGCAAAATATTATATTTATGCAAAGCACAAATATTTTTGTTTGTGTATCTTTATGACAAAGTAACAGCTATGAATTTTACACACCTGTTTTAATAAAAAACGTACATATGACTGATCAGAAAAGTAAATACAAAACTGCAGAGATAATAGAATACTTTGCATGTAATAGCTTATTTTGACTGGCTGATTGAAGCCTGTACAGAAGAGGGTTGGAACTGACATTGTTCTAGGAAGATAAGCAATCACTCATGTTGTCTCAACCACAGAGAGGAGGAAACTCAGCTCATTTTTCACCTGATAATTTCATTTTGATCATTTCTAACTGGCACTACTTAACCCATGATCGAGCCGTCTCTTGAACATCAATAGGAATAATTCCATTTAGAACTTCTTTGCTGTTTCCACACATTTTCTTCTGTTTAAATGAAGCCTTAAATAGGATGCTTTATGCAGTTATAACTCTCTTTGCACTTGGTTTCTCATAGACTTGTTAATGGGTCCAAGTGGAGATGTAAATATTTCAAAAATACCAATAAAAAATAAGAATCAATATATGGCCAAGAATGTATTACACAATCAAAAGTGGCCAATCCCAAACTCTGAAAGCTTAGATCATTTCTTATTGCTAGGTATGAGCCTGCTCTTACAGAGATCTATGAGACTTTGGCCCTTGACATTAATAAGACTAAGGATGGGCCCTACATCCCAATGCTATTGTAACTGGTGAATGTTGCATGCTGTGCTTTGGAAATGCAAAACACTCACTGAATCCTCAATTACCCAAGGCAGGCAGGTCTTGTGTTCGAGATACGCGTGAGCCAGTCTCAAAGCAAGAGTGCCACAACACTTATGCCTCCCTCGCCCTCACACTACAGCCCCCTGACCAGAAAATACATAAAACCACCAACCTGCAGAAAGACTGAGGAGAACTAACGCTGGCGAGGGGGAGCTGTGATACAGCCAAGCGCATTCCATCCACCGATGGGGCACCTGCCCATCACCGCAGCATCCAAGCCCTTCACAAGTAGCTCTGGGGGTGATTTGCTTTCACCTCTAGCTGGGGAAGGGTTTGCAGCAATATTGAGGGGTTAATATCACGGTGACTGAACCCCCCCCCCGTTCACTCCTTATCCAGGCACAAACCTCCCAAAGCCTTAAATATAGAACCTCCACTAACACCTCTGTATGCCCTTCCCCCATCCCTCTGTAGGGGGAGTCCCATATCACACCCCCTAACCTCCCCATCCACCTCCCCGCCGCCCCTCTGCGCGGGGGAGTGGCACCACATCAAACGTAACACCCCTCCTGCATACCATACACCTCTCCCCCATCTCTCTGCAGGGGGAGCCCCGGCCACATCCTGCAACCCCCTCCCCCAGTGCAACACCTACCCCCCCATTACACCCAGCCCCCCGCCACACACCTGCCCCCCACCCCAATGCAGGGGGCGCCCCCATTACACCCAGCCCCCCGCCACACACCTGCCCCCCCGCCCCAATGCAGGGGGTGCCCCCATTACACCCAGCCCCCCGCCACACACCTGCCCCCCCAATGCAGGGGGCGCCCCCATTACACCCAGCCCCCGCCACACACCTGCCCCCTGCCCCAATGCAGGGGGCGCCCCCATTACACTCAGCCCCCCCCCCCACCCCTGCCCCCCCCCCCCCATGCAGGGGGCGCCCCCATTACACCCAGCCCCCGCCACACACCTGCCCCCTGCCCCAATGCAGGGGGCGCCCCCATTACACTCAGCCCCCCGCCACACACCTGCGCCCGCGCCCCCATGCAGGGGGCGCCCCCATTACACCCAGCCCCCCGCCGCACACCTGCCCCCCGCCCTGGCCGCAGCGCGGGCAAGGAGTGGCTCGTGGGTTGGGCTCCCCAGGGCAGGATTGCCCGGGCCCCGCGCGGCGTGGGGAGCAGCCTCCCCCATTGTCACCCACCTGGCCCGAGCGCTTCTCCGCCAGCCGCGCGCGCGCGCGCTCACCCGGCGGAGCGGAGCGGCCGCGCGCCAGGCGCAAAGGCCGCGCGGGGACACCAGCCGCTACGGGGGCGGGCGGGCGCGCGCGCAGCCAGCCAGCGGGGCAGGCGAAGGCCCGAGCAGGCAGCGAGCGCGAGCGGCGGTAGCCAGGGGCAACGGCTCAGCTGTACACACACCGCCGCCCGGGCCGGGCAGAGGGCGGGGCCGCCCGGAGCCGGCCCCAGCAGCAGCGCGTGCGGGAGCCGGAGGGAGGCCCCGGGGCCGTGCGCGCGAGGCAGGGGCAGGGGCACGTGCACGTGCAAGGGCCATCGAGGCGAGCCCCTCCCCTGAAAACGCGTCCCAGGCCCCTGCTCCGAGCTTCGCTCTGCCGGGTCTGGGGGGAAACGAGCCTTGAGCGCCTCCCCATTGCCATCCCGGGTCCCAGTCACCCCCCGTCGCCAATGACTGGCACCTTCCCGAGCTGCACCCTGGAGCAGCCGGGGGTTGGGCAGCTCATCCTGTCACGTTTCAATAAAGTTTCAAGGGTTTTCTCTCTACCAGCGTTATAAGCAAGTCTCTTCACGCTTAGGTAGAGGCAATGGCTTATGCAAACGCCGTCCAGTAACATCGTCCCCGAAAAAAGAACAGGAGGACTTGTGGCACCCTAGAGCCTAACATTTATTTGAGCATAAGCTTTCGTGGGCTACAGCCCACTTCATGGGATGCATAGACTGGAACATATAGTGAGGAGATATATATACACACATACAGAGAGCATGAACAGGTGGGAGTTGTCTTACCACCTCTGAGAGGCCAATTAAGAGGGAAAAAAAAAACTTTTGAAGTGATAATCAAGATAGCCCAGTACAGACAGTTTGATAAGTGTAAGAATATTTACATGGGGAGATAGATTCACTGTTTGTAATGGCTCAGCCATTCCCAGTCTCTATTCAAGCCTAAATTGATTATTAGAGGCATAGCCCTGTTAGTCTGAATCTGTAAAAAGCAACAGAGGGTCCAGGGGCACCTTTAAGACTAACAGAAGTATTGAAGCATAAGCTTTCGGGGGTGCATGCCCACTTCATCAGACGCAAGACTTGCATCTGATGAAGTGGGCATGCACCCACGAAAGCTTATGCTTCAATACTTCTGTTAGTCTTAAAGGTGCCACCGGACCCTCTGTAGCCTAAATTGATTGTAGCTAGTTTGCATATCAATTCAAGCTCAGCAGTTTCTCGTTAACAAGTAATGGTGATAATAGCTAAACAGATTAGGGCAGTGAGACTGGTACGCCTTCCATAGCCTTTATTATACCCTCAACCACATCAGACCTGCTAGTCTGTCCTAGCTCCTTAACCCACGTGCCTCACGCCTGGACAGACCCCTCACCCCTTCTGCCTAATTGCACATAGACAGATTTAAACCATCTAATGCAGCATGGTTAGAAACAGGCTGGAAACACAGCACCTGAACAGCAGGTGTGGAGGGAACATGCTTTTTTGGATCACTTCAAGCCCAGTCCATGCCCTAGAGAACAGGCTCTCAAATTGTGACCCTTGAGGGGGTTGCAAGGTTTTTATAGGGGCGTGAGGTGTGAGTTATCAGCCTCCACCCACAAACCCCACTTTGCCTTCGGCTTTTATAATAGTGTTAAATATTTTTTTTAAAAAAAGGTTTTAAATGTATAAGGAGGAGGGGTTACCCTCATAGGTTTGCTGTGTGAAAGGAGTCACCAGTACTATTACCCTAGGGCATGAAAGCACCTGCAGTCTTGATGCTGTTGTCAGCATCTATTTCACACCTTTTACATACGCCTCATTTCTGAGGGGGCAAATGCCCAATTAGCTGAGGACACGAGGCTCAGGGCTATGCTATTTAATCTCACTTCACTTGTTGAAGAAAAGCTAGAAGGTAGACCAATGCTGCCCTTTGGGAATTATGAGAAGTATGAATTGCTATATGGAATTGTTAGCATCCTTTCATCGACCAGAAATGATGGGAATTGCAGCCTATGATGCAATGTCTCATATGACTGAATAGGCCAAGCTGAGATTTGCATGATCTTTGGAAGTTATTGCAAATGGATGTAGCTTGGTCAGGGGGAGTGTCCCATTTTATCATTCATTAGACTTACTTCAGTGATATAAATCATTAATTTAATCTCCACCCCGCCTATGTAAAAGTGCCCAGGTCACCAACTATTATCAGTGGAAAAACAGTTGCCTTAGCCTATCAACATAAGCCTGAAAGAGACTTGAGGCCTAGCCGACCAGAGCGAGGGAGCAAAGACTGAAACTAGAGTAACTAGCAGCTAAGTAAACCCTACCACAAGATAGTGTGCAGCATTTTATTCTCAGGACACAAGGCTTGGGAAAGGTGTGTCACGTGAAATAGAATCACCGGCCTTGAGCAAGGGACCCTGTTTTTGCACATAGAGCTTACACAAGTGCCATAAGATACAGCAGCGTCAGTCAAAACAGTTACTATGACATGGAAAACTTTAAAAGTATGAAGCCGTAGAGAAGAAACTCTCTGGTTATTAACAGATTTTGCTGATAGCCTCAAATGACCAAAACACAAGCTTTACATCAGGGCATCTGCGCCTCAATTGCTAGTCTACAACAGGGTGAAGGAAGGTTGACTGCAGAAGTTAGGTCAAGTTTGCAACAGGGTACCTGGGGCTTTGGTTATGCATTACAGCCTTTTTAGGACAGTGAAACATTAACCTCAGTCTAGGCACACACTCAAATTCCTTGGTTGTTTTATTGCTTGCCTACAGCATGGGGGCTGTAATCACTGCACTCAGCTACAGCAGGTGGCTATCAGCCAAGCCACGGTTAGAAGTACAGTATTTAGTCCTTCCATCCTTTCCCTATTATTTCCTCAGCATTGCTCTCCCGCAATACTACACAGAGAACTTTTCCCTTCCTTACTTTATTGCATACAAATGCTGAAGCGATTTCCAGCCATAGGGATAGCCTTTGATAACCTAGTTACCGCAAGGTCTTGGAACCACCCTGGTACCAACAGAGCAATATTAGCTTTTCAGTTGGAAAAGATTGTAAGAGTGCTTCAAAAAAGTTACAGTAGATCACTATGCATCTGGCCTCCAAGCACACTTGCTCACACAGGCAACAGTCTATTACTGTCCACCTCACCGACAAAATGGAACATAGGGAGATGGCTAAAGTTACATTAAGGGGCATCACCTACTACTCATTGATTTAAAGGGAAACCAGCAACCAGCCTCGTATCCCACTACAGATCAACATGGGAATAAAAAAAAGTTACATGATAAATTCCATTTCAGCAGGAAGTGAGGCCAGAGGTCCTGGAGATCCAGAAGCTGTAGGCGTTGAAAGTGTGGCCTGCTGGATGGAAATACAGGTCATTTGCCAGAGGAAAAGGTGAACAAGAGATTGGCATGATAGAGGATGGCAAAGGGCAAGGAAGAGCCAAGCTAAGAAGAGGCCAGTTGATATGTGGAGGCAGCAGCAGCAAGAGGCCTGGTGTTCTGGACTGTGACCAAAACTTCGTATCAATCAGCACGTACAGACCGTTGCATGTTTGGATATATGTTAGAACAAGTAGGCTAACTGGGCAATCAGGGCTTACCCCAGTCTAGAGGCAGTTGGACAAAGCAGGGAGAAGTGTGATATAAGTGCCTCCAATGCTGCTGCAGGCAAATGTAATGGTCAATCCTGCTCTCACCTGGATACTTCCCTGAGCTCTGGGCCATCCTTACCATAGTGACATTTTGCAAGACCTTCCTTGTTCTCTGAAGCAGTGTTTCAGTGAGCAGCACTGGCTCATGGAGAGGAATCCAGGCCTGCCCCTCCACCACCTCTGTCCTTGAGCAACATGAACCTCTCTGTATCAGAATAGCAAATAGAAGAAAAAGCTCCCCCATCCAAGCATCTGTGCTGGACTTGGTTGGGGCACCAAGAGAATACTGACATTGCTAAACAGACACTCAGAACCACTTACATAGTTTGGGGCAGCAATGCTGGATTTCCCCCAAGGTTGTTAGCTGCAGCAGACATGATAGCATGAAAGAAGCACTCACCTATCAAGAGAAGGCACACAAACAAAACGTGGTTGTCAAGAAGGATGGATACAGAAACAGTCTGTGGGAAAACAGCTCTGCTGTGTGAATGAGTGGAACAATGTTAGTGAAACACTTACTTGTCGTCAGTTCAATACAATAGAATGTGTTTGCAATAAACATACAGGGAGTCTGAGTATCCCAAAGGCCGAGCTGTTAATTCACAGGCAGATATTAGAAACATGGCATCAAGAAACCTGTATGGAGGGAAAACTGGCAACTGTCTCAGGCAGGAGAGGCAATCAGGACTCACTTCAGAGCGCAGACCATTAAACCAGTCTACAAAACAACAACCCAATGCAAAAAAAAAGAGAGCCAACCAGCACACACATATGGACTTGGGCACAGGCCACATCTGGAAGGGGTCAGAAAAATCAAGACGCCTTAAATGAAATAAGGTGGGTCAACTTGAAGTCACATTAGCCAAATTCCTTCCCAGTACTGCCGATTGGTTTTAGGTGTGTTCACACACTGGAATAGTAGATAAAGGAGACTGACTACTCACAGCCAAGTCTACATTGATGCGAAAATGCAGAATTTGTAATCATAGTAGAGGAAGAGAAACACTCCAGATTCTTGCAGTTTGCCTGTAGAGCAAAGACATTAACACTTGAAAAAACATTTTCCTCTAGCAAATAGTTCAAAGGCTTGTAAGTAAATGTGTGCAATGAAGTAGCTGGAGTGTTTTGCTGAAAGCCTCAGCACATACTGTAATTTAATCTGTAGTCTCCTTGATCCAACTTCATTTTTTAAATTATCCCCCCCTCAGGACGATCACTCATTGTAACCACTCAATAAAAACAGTTAACCACAGAAATGTAGAGCTGCAACACGGATCACAAGAGGTCACTAGTCCAATCCCCTGCACAGAGGCAGGACCAAGTAAACCAAGTCCATCTCTGAAAGTTGTTTGTCTAACCTGTTCTGAAAAAACA